TTGAAGACCAGACGCGCCGCTGCGTTCTGGACCATTTGAAGAGGTCTCACAGTACAGCCTGGAAGACCAGTTAGAAGGGCATTGCAGTGATCGAGGCGGGAGATGACAGTAGATTGCACCAGGAGCTGGGTGGCATGTTGTGTTAGGTATGGTCTGATCTTTCGTATGTTATACAGCGCAAAGCGGCATGAACGAGCAACAGAGGCAACATGATCTTTAAAGTTCAGGTGTTCATCAATCACAACACCCAGCATATATTTGCCACATGAGGATAGTTAAAAGCATGTCATTTTGACATATATAAACAGGAAAAAATAAATCGCAATATTTATCGTTACCGCTCATGCTTCAGACTATATCGCAATATAGATTTGAGGCCACATCGCCCAGCCCTAAAGTCAGGGTTTGTCAAACTTGGCCTTAGACACTTGGTGCCTGAGCATCCACTACAGAAACCATATTCACCATTAATCGCAAACACATCGTGCACATCATACTCAAATCCACGCCAACTGTCAGATCATCTCGACGAGCCCCTTGGAGGCATTCTCCCCTCCTCTGCTGCTGCAAACAGCCCAAATTTGGACAAGGATTCCAGCCAGATAGTCGTGTGCCCTGAGCGGGAGTCCGGCGTGCATCCATGTGTGTCTTGTTTCTCTTGTGGATGCTTATGTTGTCATAGTAACAGGAGAAAAGAAGGACACCGTCCGCACGGTGTTCATTGAAGGGTTTGAACCCTCTAATGATTACAGTCTGTCTGTTTACTAAACGAAAAGTCCAATGCAGGCACTTCCTGCCTCTGTTTGTTTTGGATGTTGGTCGTATCCTCCTTCACAGCTTCATGGGTAAATAAACTTGCCTTTGCTATCAAAATGTAACATTATTTTAAATATATATTTCAGATTAGAAAACAAGGTTCAAGTGTGTAATGTGAGTGTTTGGTAATAATTCAGAACACACGATAACTTTGCACTTTCTGTTCTCCAGCAGCAGCAGACGCTTGTTGCTCAGATGTTGACTTGATTGATTATGCAGCTTTGGGCTAAATGCAGTGTTACCCTTGTGTAAATGGTAAACTTGGTGTATCACCACCACATTTACAGCAGACCTTTTAGAAAGACTGACATGAACTGTGGTAACATTCCACCATTTACAGAAAATCCTGGAGCACTGTGGTTTGAGATAGACGTCTAAGGCTGTTTCCCGTTTAGCGCATGCTAAATCATCTTTGTTCTTCAACAAACTGAAATGTCACCATTACTCGGCTGACCTTCGGGAATTCTGAAAAGGTGCTGCTATTTAAAGGTACTAGTGTGTCTCGGTTTCTTGTACCAGCATTGCTGCTGTAGCTGTCATGATCAGGGATTTTTACCTCATGTTTCCTATGCAAACAAGTGTCTACTTTTCCTTCTCACCCCCATATCAGAAATGCACAAACCCCCACGTGCAAGGGCAATAAACCATAATGTAGCTGCTGTTGCTGGGGGAACGGATTGGTTCTATGTTGCCTCATTTAGTTTATTTTTGTACATTTTTAAGTTGACTTAAACAGTTTAGCTCAAAGATTGTTTGTAAAATAAACCGCTTCTGAATGCAACCCGTTCTGCTTTGGCTTGTGTGGCTGCCATCAGGTGTTGTTTCCTCAACAGGAACCCTACAGGGAGAAATGAGATAAGAGGGTGCAGCTATGGCCTCTGTAACCTCCTAGGCTCAAAGCAACAAGGACTGGAACAGCTGACTCAGTAATGCTCATGGCTTTGCCATTGATGGGTTGGTCGCTGTTGGCGTATTGAACACCTCTCTGATCTTGATATTGGTTTAATACATTTCCTCCTGAGGAAGACGTTAGACCAGTTTTAACCAGCAGCTGTGTACAATGACCTAAAGTCTCACATCTAGCCGTGATTTGAGGCTTTGTGGCACTGGAATCGGAAAGCTGCTCCTAATGATTTGTTTTAATTTAATCACAAAGATTTAACTGAGTAAAATGTTTTGTTTTACCTGAGAAATTCCTCAGCCTCTCAGAAGAATCGGTCTTTTATTTTGGATTGTGTCAGTAGTTTGATTTCTCACACAAAACGTCTTGCTTCTCTTCAGACCTGACCTTTAGGGAAATGCTTCTTCCAAATGTTGTTTTGTATGAATTAGCGACGTATATAGGCGGCACGTCGGGGGCTCCACCAGCAGCGTGGTATTTCGAGCACCCCCGCTGTGTGCAGGCATTTTGGGAATGCTCCAGCTGCTGAAATTCCCCAGCAGTTCTGGACACATAGCAATCCATCATATGCAGTGAAAACACTCTCACCCCACTTACATCAACTCGTGTGTGTGTGTGTGTGTGTGTGTGTGTGTGTGTGTGTGTGTGTGTGTGTGTGTGTGTGTGTGTGTGTGTGTGTGTGTGTGTGTGTGTGTGTGTGTGTGTGTGTGTGTGTGTGTGTGTGTGTGTGTGTGTGTGTGTGTGTGTGTGTGTGTGTGTGTGTGTGTGTGTGTGTGTGCACGAGTGCACTGACTCTGTGTGTGTGTGTGTGTGTGTGTGTGTGTGTGTGCACGAGTGCACTGACTCTGTGTGTGTGTGTGTGCGTGTGCGTGTGCGTGTGTGTGTGCGTGCGCGCACACTGACTCTGTGTGTGTGTGCGTGCGTGCGCACACTCGTGCACTGACTCTGTGTGTGTGTGTGTGTGTGCGCGTGTGTGCACGAGTGCACTGACTCTGTGTGTGTGTGTGTGTGTGTGTGTGTGCACGAGTGCACTGACTCTGTGTGTGCGTGTGCGTGCGCGCACTCGTGCACTGACTCTGTGTGTGCGTGTGCGTGCGCGTGCGCACACTCGTGCACTGACTCTGTGTGTGTGTGTGCGTGCGCGTGCGCGCACTCGTGCACTGACTCTGTGTGTGTGTGTGCGTGTGTGTGCGTGCGTGTGCGTGCGCGTGCGCGCACTCGTGCACTGACTCTGTGTGTGCGTGTGCGTGTGCGTGCGCGCACTCGTGCACTGACTCTGTGTGTGTGTGTGCGTGCGTGCGCGTGCGCGCACTCGTGCACTGACTCTGTGTGTGTGTGTGCGTGCGTGCGCGTGCGCGCACTCGTGCACTGACTCTGTGTGTGTGTGCGTGCGTGCGCGTGCGCGCACTCGTGCACTGACTCTGTGTGTGTGTGCGTGCGTGCGCGTGCGCGCACTCGTGCACTGACTCTGTGTGTGCGTGCGTGCGCGCACTCGTGCACTGACTCTGTGTGTGTGTGTGCGTGCGTGCGCGTGCGCACACTCGTGCACTGACTCTGTGTGTGTGTGCGTGCGTGCGCGTGCGCGCACTCGTGCACTGACTCTGTGTGTGTGTGCGTGCGTGCGCGTGCGCACACTCGTGCACTGACTCTGTGTGTGTGTGTGTGTGTGCGCGTGTGTGCACGAGTGCACTGACTCTGTGTGTGTGTGTGTGTGTGTGTGTGTGCACTCGTGCACTGACTCTGTGTGTGTGTGTGTGTGTGTGCACTCGTGCACTGACTCTGTGTGTGTGTGTGTGCGTGCGCGTGCGCGCACTCGTGCACTGACTCTGTGTGTGTGTGTGCGTGTGTGTGTGCGTGCGTGCGCGTGCGCGCACTCGTGCACTGACTCTGTGTGTGTGCGTGCGTGTGCGTGCACTCGTGCACTGACTGTGTGTGTGTGCGCGCACTCGTGCACTGACTCTGTGTGTGTGTGCGTGCGTGCGCGCACTCGTGCACTGACTCTGTGTGTGTGTGTGTGCGTGCGTGCGCGTGCGCGCACTCGTGCACTGACTCTGTGTGTGCGTGTGTGCGTGCGCACACTCGTGCACTGACTCTGTGTGTGTGTGTGTGCGTGCGTGCGCGTGCGCACACTCGTGCACTGACTCTGTGTGTGCGTGTGTGCGTGCGCACACTCGTGCACTGACTCTGTGTGTGCGTGCGCACACTCGTGCACTGACTCTGTGTGTGCGTGCGCACACTCGTGCACTGACTCTGTGTGTGCGTGTGTGCGTGCGCACACTCGTGCACTGACTGTGTGTGTGCGTACACTCGTGCACTGACTCTGTGTGTGCGTACACTCGTGCACTGACTCTGTGTGTGTGTGTGTGTGTGTGTGTGTGTGTTTGCGTGTGTACACTCGTGCACTGACTCTGTGTGTGTGTGTGTGCACTCGTGCACTGACTCTGTGTGTGTGTGTGTGTGTGTGTGCACTCGTGCACTGACTCTGTGTGTGTGTGTGTGCACTCGTGCACTGACTCTGTGTGTGTGTGCACTCGTGCACTGACTGTGTGTGTGTGTGTGTGCGCGTGCGCGCACTCGTGCACTGACTCTGTGTGTGTGTGTGTGCGTGTGTGTGTGCGTGCGTGTGTGTGTGCGTGCGCGCACTCGTGCACTGACTCTGTGTGTGTGTGTGTGCGTGTGTGTGTGCGTGCGTGTGCGTGCGCGTGCGCGCACTCGTGCACTGACTCTGTGTGTGTGTGTGCGTGCGTGCGCGTGCGCACACTCGTGCACTGACTCTGTGTGTGTGTGCGTGCGTGTGCGCGCACTCGTGCACTGACTGTGTGTGTGTGCGTGTGTGTGCGTGCGTGCGCGCACTCGTGCACTGACTCTGTGTGTGTGTGCGTGCGTGCGCGCACTCGTGCACTGACTCTGTGTGTGTGTGCGTGCGTGCGCGTGCGCGCACTCGTGCACTGACTCTGTGTGTGCGTGTGTGCGTGTGTGCGTGCGCACACTCGTGCATTGACTCTGTGTGTGCGTGCGCACACTCGTGCACTGACTCTGTGTGTGCGTGTGTGCGTGCGCACACTCGTGCACTGACTGTGTGTGTGCGTACACTCGTGCACTGACTGTGTGTGTGCGTACACTCGTGCACTGACTGTGTGTGTGCGTACACTCGTGCACTGACTCTGTGTGTGTGTGTGTGTGTGCGTGTGTACACTCGTGCACTGACTGTGTGTGTGTGTGTGTGTGTGTGTACACTCGTGCACTGACAGATGGTCTTTCTCTCCTGTCTTCTGTCTTTTAGGCATGCATAGATGACAACGTCGACATGGTCACGTTCCTGGTGGAACACGGAGCCAACCTCAACCAACCTGACAACGAGGGCTGGATCCCCCTGCACGCTGCAGCTTCCTGCGGATACCTCGACATAGCAGAGTGGGTTTCTAAGTAGCGGTATCAGTTTCGTCACGTTTGATTTCTACTCGGTCATCTCTTTACATCCTGCTGCTCTACACGTAGATACTCAACAATTCAATTACTACACTCTTCTGATAATCGATTTTGAACATTTTATGAAAATGTATTCATTTTAAACCTTGGTAATGTAACTGCACCACACACGTCATGCAGTCAGTTGCTTTTAAGTAGTGAGTTCTTTGGTAGATTTTCTTTACCCTGGCATTTCACCTGGCACTCAGTGATGTGTCCCAGAAGCATTGTCCCACTACTCTACTAAATTTATGCCCTGGGTCTAGAGATGGATGGATGGATAGATAGATCATTATGTGTGGCACCTTCTTGGCGGAGGTAAGATTAAAAGCAAATACAGACATTTTGGGTACATTGTGCAATCTTTCTCCCAGCTTCTTATTGCATGAACTTGTGAAATCAGGTGTGATCTTTTAATTCTCCGGCGATTATGTGATCTCGTGGGTCCAGCTGGATGGAACGCAGTCGCTGCCGCTGCACTTCTGAAACGCTCTTGGTAGGAAGGGACGTGCCGCCGAGGTTTTGGAGGGAAAACGTATCGATTTAGTTCCCTACGCGCCTCTCATGCATCAAGTGGAAAAGCAGGGTTAGGCCTTATTAACTGACAATTGTTCAAAAGAGATCAAACAGAAGGAATTATTTAAAAGAAGAAGAATTTTTAGAATTGATTAGTGACACCTAGCTTCATCCAGCTCTGGCCTTCAGCTCTTGCTGGGTAGGTTCGCGGCCGAGTGTGAAGCGGCTGGGATCAGGATCAACACCTCCATATCTGAGACCATGGCTCTCGACTGGAAAAGGGCGGCTTGCCAACTCCGGGTCGGGAGAGAGGCCCTACCTCAAGTGGAGGAGTTTAAGTATCTCGGGGTCTTGTTCACGAGTGAGGGTAGGAGGGATCGGGAGGTCGACAGGCGGATTGGTTCGGCGTCTGCAGTGATGCGGACGCTGAGCCGATCTGTCGTGGTGAAGAGGGAGCTGAGCCAGAAAGCCAGGCTCTCGATTTACCGGTCGATCTACGTCCCAATCCTCACCTATGGTCATGAGCTTTGGGTAATGACCGAAAGAACGAGATCGCGGATACAAGCGGCCGAAATGAGTTTCCTCCGTAGGGTGGCCGGGCTCAGCCTTAGAGATAGGGTGAGGAGCTCGGACATTCGGGAGGGACTCGGAGTAGAACCGCTGCTCCTCCGGATCGAAAGGAGTCAGTTGAGGTGGTTTGGGCATCTGGTCAGGATGCCTCCTGGACACCTCCCTGGGGAGGTGTTTCGGGCATGTCCTGCCGGCAGGAGGCCCCCGGGTCGACCCAGGACACGTTGGAGAGGTTACATCTCCAATCTGGTCCGGGAACGCCTTGGGGTCCTGCCGGAGGAGCTGGTGGAGGTGGCCAGGGAGAGGACGGTCTGGAGCTCCCTAGTTGGGATGCTGCCCCCGCAACCCGGACCCGGATAAGTGGAGGAAGACGACGACGATTAGTGACACAATTATCACAACTAATGGTGCCCCCTGGAGTTGCACGGATGTGTCTTTCAGTGTTGATGGAGTTCGACTCCTGTGTTAGTGGGGTTAATGTGGGGAACTCAGTAGTGAGTTCATGTGTGAAAATCACGGGTCTTGCTCCTTTAGACGTAGCTTGAGCCTGATAAATCCTGGCACCCTCTTCCCACCTCACAAAGTTGTTTAAAGAAGGAAAATCTTCTTTCTGCGTAACATAATCCCTGCTGTACTTTTCCAATAGGAGATTCCTACATCTTTGCTTGGCAAAATCCAGAGAATGACTCCATTTTTGGTCAAGCAGTGTCCGTCTCTTAGCCTAGCATCATACATGGCATCTGGAGTTGGATTTTTCTTCCTCCTGATCCTTGTCGGTTAAGAAAATGGCTCACGGGGCATAAAGCACAACACAGAGATGTTATCAGCAGATATTTAAACTCACTGAAGGGGCTAAAGGGCTCAGTTGGACTCATTGTTCAGCCTAGTGGGAGGGTGCGTTGACCTGCTTTACTTGTGTTACGTTTCAGGAACTTGGCTGCAGATTTCTACCCACTATTTGTTTTGTCAAGGCCTGCAACCAGCTGAGAAATAAACATGCTGCATGGAGCTCGGCCTGTAATATCATACTGTTTAGGTTTGATGCCATTAAACGGAAACATCAGCTGTTTTTATGATATTCAGTTTTAGACGTGTGATGTGCCTGTTTCAGATCAGAGAGGTCTGTGTTGGTGACCTCAGTGTCACAGAAAACTAGAAAGTGTTTTAGCATTTTGAGTGAAAAGTCAAGTGGTCAGGTGACTAATGGAGACATTTTATTTCACAGAGAGAAACTTTGCATCCCGATGTGGGCTTTATGTTCTCAGCAGACCCATTTCAGTCCCGGAATCGTCACTCGCCAAATCAGGAATCTGTTTGCTCGTGGTGTCACCGCAGCCAGCCTATTGCAGGCACAGAGGGGCTCTAGACCACAGAGCCATCAAACCTCATCAAGTCGAGCTTTTAAAAAAAGGCAGAATAGAAAGTTTAATCAGGAAGGCTGAACTCTCAGATGTATTTGTAGTCAGTAAGTTGCCATTTGGGTGGAAGTCTCAAGTACCAAACATGTTTTAAGTGGTTTGTTGGTCTAATGAGAAGAGCCTGGGACACACCGCAGCTTTAAGTGGAGGCAGCTGAATGCAGGACGTTTCAGGCTTCAAATGCAATCAATACAGGCTGGGAGGGAAGCTGCAATGCAAAGGGCTACATCATAAAATGGCTACAAATGTTCTTAAACACATGTATTTTATTTTAACTCTAGGATTGTGCCTAATGGCTCTTAAAAGCCAGTACAGTTAGTTAAAGGTGTGATAAAATCAGTTTGAACGTAAATAATTTAAAACTAATATCCTGGAAATAATTTTTTTCCTTAAAGCTTAAAATGTTGGTTAGATTTTTTTTTTAGTTTTCCATCTATTCTCCACTTCCAGAGGATGACCCTTGACCTGGCTGTAAATGAGCACACACACTCTTTGCTTTGGTGGGGTTCTGGAAAGGCCTTGTATGTCTTTGTGAGGATGCTGTTGGAATAATGTGACACACATCTGTAGCAACAGGCACTGCTGGCACTAAACCAAAAATGTTTCTACTTCTCAGGAGTTTCAACAGTTTGTTTTCCTTCTTTAAGGAAGTAACTCCTACCTAAACCTAGTTTTAATCCAGTTGTTCAAGTGCACACATCCTGTCGTCGCTCATCTGTTTGGTTTATTTATTTATTGCAGGTATCTGATCAGTCAGGGTGCCAATGTTGGAGTTGTAAACAGTGAAGGTGAGACGCCTCTGGACATCGCTGAAGAAGGGGCAATGGAGGAGCTTCTGCAGAACGAGATCAACCGACAAGGTGGAGTAAAACGTGAACCTCGGGCTGCTGAATGGGTGTGATGATCCAGAGTGGGATCATATTTCTAGAATCTGTTCAGGTGTCACGATTCTGACGACACGCTGCAAGGGACAGCTCTTAAGACCCTGCTTTTATTTCATGGTTTGTTTTTAAGAATGGGAATGAAGTTCAAAGACTTTACATAATAGAATACAGACCCAGCTGGGTTGTAGCACTCGAGAGGATTCAGAAGTGAAAAGCTGCTTCTTGCTGTTTTTAGCCTGGGTGATCTTGGTGGAGGGCCCAGATTTATGGCAAGAGGCCACACACACACACACACACACACGCACTCACGCACGGGCACACATACACACACACACACGTGCCCTCCTGGCCAGAGGGGGTGCTCCTCAGTTCAGAACCTCTCAGAAAGCCTGCTTGCACTCTTCTGTTTTCCATGAGCTAACTCTGGCTGTATATTTGACATGTGGTTCTTGTAGCTCCTGAAAGCTGACTTTAAGGTTTGACTATAGGCTGAGCCATTCATTTTCTTATGATAACCTCTTGTGATAACTCACCATTCAAAGCTTCTCAAACAAGTGTGTATGTCCAATAGAAGTACCTTAATGACAGAGCTAGTCAACAACAAGCTTGGTGTCCAGCGTCCAACATAATATACAGCTGAACACCCCAACTTTTCCTTCAGAGGCATCATGGTGTCACCATAACCTCTGTTGGCATCCTCATTAGCTTCATCCAACAGGTCAAGGGTTACCCCCTCTGCTAGGGTAACCCTCGACATCGCAGCAGATGTTGTTGTTGAATTAGTGACCTACTTATACAATTTGAGCATATCTTCAGTCTCTTTACCAGATATTTGGAAATCCGCAATAGTATGCCCCATTTCAACAAATGTAAATAATTGCAGACCGATATCAAAGCTTTGTATCCTGACCAAAGTACTGGAAAGTCTTGTGGCTGCACAATTACATGATTACTTATTAGATAATAATATACTTAGCCCTTTTCAATCAGGCTTTAGGAGAAATCTTAGTGCAGTGACTGCAGTCCTGCCAGTTCTTAATGACTGCTATGAGACTTTGGATGCAAAGACGTCTGGTTGTGCACTATTTCTGGACTTATTTACGGCACTTGACACTGTAGAATATGGTTTACTGTTGCAGAGACTGAAGGGAATGGGATTCTCGGTGCAAGCTTTATCATGGATTAAAGATTATCTTCAAAATAGAACCCAATGTACCCAGATGGGAGGAAGGAACTCACACGTAGAACGAATAATAAATGGGGTACCCCAAGGAGCTGTTTAAGGACCAGTTTTATTTTCTATATAAATAATCTGTTTAGATATTGCAAATATCTCACATCATTTATATGTGGCATTCACATTGCGCCTCTTGGCCAGGTCACCCTCGCAAAAGAAGTTTTAATCTCAGTGGGTTTCATCTGGTTAAATAAAGGTAAAAAAAAAAAGTGTAAACTCTACAACTGTTGGTCAATGGGGCAGAAGTACCGCCCCCTCTTTTCATGTGTGTAGCTCAAACCAATGGCAGTGAAGTCTGTTGTTTGACACGATGAGTTTTGTACAACAGTCTCATGAGGACCGTGCATGGTCTGCTTCCTCATACTCAACATAAGAATGATTTAGATTAGTGACTCGCTGCCTGCTGTGTGTGTGTCATGCCCACTAAAAGTCTAATGTGAGAACCGATCGCCAATTAATTGGACTGACGGATATCACTCAACCTTTAGTAACAAGCTTTTACGTTTGTAACTATACAGGTTTCAGCTGCACTTGACATCCAGAGATATTTCTATCCAGAGCGCTCTTTTCTTGTCTGGCTCCTTCTCCATATAATGTACTCTATAATCTACTGTTGGTAGCTTTTGCACCCTCCCAAACCTCAAACGTCTCGGCCAGCAGCCGCTGTCAGATCGGATAAAGTGATGGATGACTGATGCTCTGCATGGTTCATCGTCTTGCTGCCTCCTCACACATCCATCACCAGCCGATGCTAACGTGACCGTTTACAGACCTCAAAGAGCCAGAGTGCTCTATCCAGAATGAGTCTATTAGCATGGTGTGTAAAAGCTGCTTGTGTGATAAAACTCTGCTGCTACCATCCCTGGTGGAGAGTAGCTGATCATTTGTTCATATCGGAGGTAGTAGGCAGCGTTATGCAACTAATGGTTGTGTAACACTTCTCTGTTTGTGGTTTGACTTTTCTTCCTTTGAGGATGTGAGGGAGTTAAACTTGTAGAAGAAGAAGAAGAAGAAAGTATCATTTCTATAGCGCCTCTCAAGATAAAAATCACGAGGCACTTAAAATGTTGTATTCAACTTATTCTAAGTTGGTTCTACTTGTATGAAAGTAGCCAACAGATTCCCGATTTTATTTTTTAGTTCAGTTCTATTAAAAGTAGGGTAGATGATTCTGGAAAAGGCCATTTAGCAAGCTACATTTTAAAGCAACACATCTCAGACCCAACCCTCTTTCCTCAGACTCTGCTTCCTAAGCCACGCCTCCAGAATAAAGGAGAAAGCTGGACACAACCAATATTCGCAGAAGGAGGGAGGTGGGACGCGACCCTTATTCAAGGCATAAATGGCGTGAGGTCATCTGTGTGCTACACAGAAACACAACTCGGCACATAAAAGGTGGTGATGTTTAGGGATGTCCCGTTCCGATATTGATAAAGTATCTTTGATTTGATTGATACGGAATATCGGCCCAAAAACACTATCAGATTAAATCGGACTGCATCAAAAATCTTCAATATTAGCAGTACGTTCCACTTTGAATTCCATTCCAGCAGTTCTATCCAGCAGCGCCCAGATCCAGCATACAAAGTCCACGTGATCAGAACAGTGTGTGCTAGCAAAGTAGCAAGGAACAATGTGGCTGTATTTTTTGTTAAAGTGTGAAAAAGACAATTGGGCTCAGTCCACCACTTGTCATGGACAAGTTTCCCATGGTGGAACGGAACCGGGGATGACTGATACGTCTAACCTCATCGTTCATTTGAAGCAGGATCACAAAACACTGCATGAGGATTTTCGAAGTGTGTGAAATTGAAACTTTAGACACTCAACTTGTAGCAGTTGGTCAGTGAACAATATTGTTTTTTTTTCCTTATGTCCCTAACCTCCGTTGGATTGTCGAACCTCAGATTCAGGAGGAGCAATTTGGTTTTCGTCCTGGCCGTGGAACACTTGTTCTGTGTGTGCACGAAGCGGCACAAGTGATAATGCTGCTGGAATTCATAATTGCATCCTCCTCAGCAGCAGCGGTGCAGGTGCTCTCCATGTCCAACATGTGTGTGTAAGCCAGGTTCTTAGTCAGCTTAAAGTAGCACACATTTTTCCACTACGTTTTCTTTTATAAATCCCAAAGTTTGCGTGGAAAGTTGCTCACGCAGTTTTCCGACCCTGTTTTGTGCGTAAGCAAGCTCGATAAATGAGGCCCCAGCTCTATACCCTTAGGGGGTCCTGGAGGGTGCGTGGGAATTTGCCCACACTCTACATTTGTTTTGTGGATTTGGAGAAGGCATTTGACTGCGTCGCTTGGGGGCCCTGTGGGGGGTACTCCAGGAGTATGAAGTACCAGGTCCTCTGATACGGGCTGTTAGGCCCCTGTATGACCGGTGTCAAGAGCTTGGTCCACATTGCCGGCAGTAAGTCGGGCTCGTTCCCAGTCCGCCAAGGCTGCCCTTTGTCACCAATTCTGTTCATAGCCTTTTTGGACAGGAGGTGTTGAGGGCATCTGGCTTGGTGGCCTGTGGATCGGGTCTCTGCTTTTTGCAGATGATGTGGTCCTGTTGGCTTCATCAGAACGTGATCTTCAGCTCTCGCTGGACCAGTTTGCAGCAGAGTGTGAAGCAGCTGGGATGATTCGGAAAAGGGTAGAATGCCTTCTCCAGGTTAGGGATGAGGTCCTGCCCCAAGTGGAGGAGTTTAAGTATCTTCTACGTCTATGCTGTGTGCAGGAGTCAAAGTTTATTCAGAAAAATAGAAACGGGACTTAACAGAAAGAGTATATATTTTTTAATATTTAGCACTTTTAATATTGCACTTTGAGTTTGCCACCTCAGTCTGCTTCCTAAGATTGTTTAATAATTTCCCATAAAAAAAACTGTTCAAATAATGTTTTCCCTTTGTTATTGAGAATATACTGTAGGGTAAAAAATGCAGCTGGATATGAGTGTGGACTGAATGGGTGCCAACAATTGGAAAATTATTTCATAGGTTTATATATATATATATATATAATGAATGAGGACAAAAGAACTATTAACTAGTTTGTATTTGGAACAGTGAACTTAGTTCAAACTTTTTAAATTATGAACTAAGAAACTAGTTCGTTTTAAAATGTGTGAACTGAACTTTGAACTAGTTCGTTTTTTTAAACGATTTTTTCCAACACTGCAGATATCGTATTGATATCGGTATCGGTCAATACTGAAGCATGCCGTATCCGTACCCGGCCAAGTCGTGCTTGGTAGTGCCGTTTGATAAGGCCTGCAGGTAGCCATATAACAATTTAAATGCTAGCTAATATTGCTAGTCTGGCTCTGGCTTTGCTTCCTGTTCAGCTGCAGCTAACCAAACACGAGTGACATGTGCGATATTCGTCGGTCCAAAAAAAATGGTGTTCTATTTGCTGAGGAGGTGTTTAGATGTTCTGTGGGACTGACACACTGCACGAAGGGCTCCACCGATCGCAATCCTTCTTACTCAGTTTGTGGAAGCAAGCCACAAGGTTTCCATGCAAGACGTTGTTTTCTGAATTTGGCTATTTGATGCGGGCCGTTCACGACAATTTACTTAGATTTATTAAAGACAGAGTAAATATGAACTAAAAGGACATGAATTATTTACAATACCTAAGCATAGAATAATTAAAAAGGAGCGCTTTGTCTCTATATATGGAGTTAAAATATGGAATAAGCTCGGTAATGTAATCAAGGACGCAAAACAATATTTAATTTAAAAAAACTCATTAAAAATGAAATACTGGAATCCTATACGTGCAAATCAATTATATAAAAAATAAAGCTATAGAAGATGTGTGTAGGTATATTCATGTGTGTATGTATAAATATGTATGTTTGTGTATGTGTATATATAGTGGATACATGTGTATGTCTATATGTGTATGTATAGTATGAAGTATGTGCGAGCATATGGGCATGCGATGCACTTTAATGTATACATGTATGAATAGGTATATGTGCAAAAATCCTTTTGCTTTTTGAATTATTACTATTAAATTTTTCCTTCTTCTTTACAAATTGAACTCAAGTCAGCTAACCAGTCGAGCAATTACTTTGAATAGGCTAATTTATAATTATTGTTATTTCAGTGTAAAATGTCATTTTAGTTAAAAAGGAGCAGATTGCATTAGTTTTCTTCTTTCTGTCCCCTTTTCATTTTCTTGGTTTGACAAACCTCATTTTATTTGTTAGTACTGTATTTTTTTCTATTTTAATAATAAATAAAACAACTAATAATAATAATAAAAAAAGGGTTTTCTAGCATTGTACGTTCAGGGATGTGATTTTTTTCCAGTTTTTACAGAATTTCTGGAATTTTTTGCAATTTGGGGCACCCCTGAGATCAATACAAATTCAATGAGATATTTTTTCATTTAGATCGAGATGGATGGATATAGGGGGGTGGCTCTGACGGAGGCTTGAATGTCGTAATTTATTTTCAGAGACCCACGATCATAGGAGGAAAGCCCAAGGGAACAGCATAAAGTTGTCAGTCTGACTGGATATTTCCTCCAAACAACAACTATAAATCTATTTAACCTTTCAGATGAGCAGCATATTAAAGTAAACTTCTTAAAATCATTTAAAAGATCAAGTCTTTCAAATGTTTTTACATCAGCACCATGAAAAGTAAAATGACACCATGCTGAAGTTAGTTTTAGGTGGTAATTATGACAGATATTCATCCTCGTTTCTAATGTTTCATCAGGTTATAACACCAATACAGCAGGTCTGATCGTCTGTTTGTGTTGCTGCTGGTCACTTAGTAACAGACTATAGAATATAGAACAGCTTCAGTTCAGTAGTTTTTTTTCCCAACACATTTGCAGTGGTCTAGAACGCCTCGTCTGTCTAGAATGCTTCGCGAGTTATCTGTGAGGGTAAAAAAGCTCGGATGTTCCTGTTTCAGGAACCAGAAGTTGGTTCGAGCAGAGGGGAGCTAAAAGACCAGGATTTGGAATCTTGCTCTGTTTTTATATCCTGATATTGGGACATCTCGCCTCTGATCATCTCTCTGAAATTGTACTGTTTATGCCCCCCCCCCTGAAATGGGATTTCCACCCCTGCCAATGATCGCTTCAAAACAAGACTGTCTGCGTGTTCCCTGACCGTTTGCTAGAAAACGGCATCATAAAAGGGACGGGTACAAGTCGCTAGGCGCATGCGTGATGACGTTTTCACCAGCATCCTCACGACATTTCCTACTCCACCTTCAATGTTCAGTAAGTTTTAGACAAAAATGCGTTGTGACCGCGTGTTAACACAACACTGCACTGAAATACTGACCTAGTGAACCAGCTGAGCCTTGTGTGTTAGCTGCTCTAAGTGCTTAATTGTCTGAACACGGGCTAGTTATTAAACTACGGCTAAATAAAAACCCGGCAGTGCTTTTTCTTTAGAAAAGCCAACAGTCTACACAAGTCTGGCTTTAAGAAAACGAAGAGTGACTTAAAGTGGGATTTTCTGAGCTGAAGGGGTCATGGTTAAATGTGTTTGTGGAGTAGGCTTGAAAATGCAGCTGATGTCACCTGACAAACTGTAAATACAGCGGAGTGAGACATCTTTCTGGTATGCGTACCAGCCGGTCACACAGTTGGCTCTGTGCAAAGCTGATAACTGTCGGATCTTTCTGTAAGTGCACTCTAGTGCGTCTGTATCAACTAAAAGACTGATGGAAAGATCTCTAAATACTTATTTATAGTAAACTGACTTGTTACAAAGGCACCAAATGACCAAATCTATATTTTCTGTAATGTTTAACAACTTTTAAGGGTTCAGCTTCCGTATACGTTCGTTGTGTCAGCAGTTGGCTCCCAAAAGGCATCCCTGGACGTCTGTGTGACTGTTATGTTTACCTTTCCAGGGTTGGATATCGAAGCAGCCAGAAAAGAGGAGGAGCGGATCATGCTGAGGGATGCTCGGCAATGGCTCAACAGCGGCCAAATCCAAGACGTCCGGCATATAAAATCCGGAGGAACGGCACTCCATGTAGCTGCTGCAAAAGGATACGTCGAAGTCTTAAAGTAAGCTGTGCTCTTGTTTTGTTTTTCATCTCTGTCATTGCTTCTTGTGGTTTTGCTTTGTTGTGACAGCGTTTCTGTGGATGGTTAATAACACCACGCCACTCCAGCGTAGGAGCTGGAATAGCCTGTCGATCTAATCCGGGAAGCCGGCCAGCGCACTCCTTTGTCATAGATGCTTCCAAGAGCTATGGTGTTTAGCACAACTACGTTACTCATAACAGGGAGCTAAATGTTTCCCCTCATAACTGCATTCTCCAGGTGTGAACATCTGTATAATCTCTTAGTAATTTCTGTTTTTGTAACCTGACTCAAAGTTTCAGCCCTGACATATTCAATCTTTTCTATTTCGGCCAAAATTATTTTTGAAAGCCAACGGGGCTGGGCAATGTAGCCTCAAGTCAATATCACGATATATTGAGGATTTCGCCTCGATAACGATAACTACAGGTTCAATTCAATTCAAGTTTATTTATATAGCGCCAAATCACGAAAAGAGTCGTCTCAAGGCACTTCACATAATAAACATTCCAATTCACAGTTCATTAAGCCAATCAGAAATAATGTTTCCTATATAAGGAACCCAGCAAATTGCAGTAAAGTCACTGACTAGTGTCAGTGACTTTACTGCAATCCTCATACTAAGCAAGCATGCAGCGACAGTGGAGAGGAAAACTCCCTTTTAACAGGAAGAAACCTCCAGAGAATCCTGGCTCAGTATAAGCAGCCATCCTCCACGACTCACTGGGGATCGAGAAGACAGAGCAGGCAGACAAAGACAGACACACACACACACACACGCGCACACACACGCGCACACACACACACACGCGCACACACACACACACGCGCGCGCACACACACACACACACACACACACACACACACACACACACACACACACACACACACACACACACAATAGTACAGTTAGTAGAGTGTGAAAAGTGGTCAGTGTGTCCTCCAGCAGTCTAAGCCTATAGCAGCATAACTACAGATATGCACGCCACAGGTATGCGCAGAAACAAAAGTTGTCCTCTAGATGGCGCTGTCACATGTATTTCATTAAGCCACATTTTTACCTGACTTGAGGTGGTACAGCTTAAAGGGACATGAACGTTGCCAACCTACACACACCTTTTCATTTTTATTATCAAATTTATTGACATGGGAAAAATTCTCGATAAGAGTCCCAAATGTCTATAACGATACATTTTCGATATATTGCCCAGTCCTAAAAGCCAATAATAATAATTATAAAAAATTCTGGCACCTGTGTGGCCAACTGGTGCCACTACTAGACTGAAGAAAAGACCCCAACACACCTTTTTTTTTTTAATTGAATTTGTTTTCTATTTGAAGTTCAATAAATATTAAGAGATTTATTGGCTTATTTCATTTATATTGCACACAGTCAGTGTTCAGTTGTCTTTCACAGTCAACGTGCTTCTAAAACGTGTACCGTTATTTCCGGACTATAGAGCGCACCTCAATAAAAGCCGCACCAACAAAAAAAAAGGTTTTCTACACACACGCCGCACTCAAATACAAGCCGCAGTGCAGCAGCCACATGCAGGTCTCCGGCGCACAGCGCATGTACGGCCGTAACATAAGATAATTAGACAGAGAGACGCTACACGGAGGTTTTTCATTGTTTTTAATTCAACAAAACAAATTTTAAACCCGGGTGAACGTGCCTGCAAGTTTAGAAAAGAAAACAGCGCTGACAGCATTCATATTTCTGGATGGTTATAAAAGAAAAACAGAACTGACACGTTATTACCGGTAATTTGCATGTTTAGAAGAAAAGAACAGCGCTGACACAGCATTAATAAACCCTGGATGATTAGAAAATAAAAACAGAACACAAAACATGCCTGGTTAGTAAATAAAACACACCTGCCTACCAGAAAAAGTCATTCGCTCTCATCTTCCTCCTGCGCACTAAAGCCATTAAAGTCCTCTTCTTCAGTGTCGGAGTTGAACAGCCTCAGAAGAGCTTCGTCACATACCTTTTCTGTGGCGATGTCAGTGTCGCTGTCCGTGTTGCTGTCATCATCCCCGGGTGAAGCTGGCTTGAATGAGTTCTTCCCGCTGCCGTCTCCAGCGCCGAGCCATGGATTCATTCATGCCAAGCTTACGTGCTGCAGCACCGTTTCCCTCCTTTACTGCCAGATCGATGGCCTTCAACTTAAATGTGGCATCATATGAACTCATACGTGTAGTTACCATGATGAGGGGGTATGGATTTGAATAAGATTCTTAGTCGTGCCGGCTGCTTGCATGTGCTAAATTAAAATGAGCACTTTCTTCCATTTCCACTTTTGACTTCCACCTGTTTCACTTTCTGCTAAAGCGCCCCCTGCAGGTGAAGGAAAATCTTCAGTAAAGCCGCACCTCATTATAAACCGCATGGTTCAAAGCGTGGGGAAAAGGTAGCGGCTTATAGTCCGGAAAATACGGTACATATCAGCCTTAACTCATTCGCTGCCAGCGTTTCTCACCGTTTTTACTGTTTTTTAAGAGTCACAGAACGTTGCGCGCTAAGATGATGTCGACGCCAAAACAACCAAAACAAAGAGGAGACACCTCTTATATCAGGAAGAATCCACACGTTTCGAGCGTAATCCGTTCTTTCATAATCCGTTGTTGAATTGTGATCGGCAGAAGCTTTTCTGGTTCGCACCTCACTTTTTTTACAGCAGCGGCCCAAAACGATCTCCTAACACATGGATGTTCTGCTTCCTGATCACGTGACGTGTGACGTATGCGAATGAAGATCGACTTTAGAGCCAGGATGTTTTTTCTCATGATGCGGGGGCTCGTTCCGACGCCCACACAGTAAAAAAAAATGCAAACAATGACTTTAGTCGTCATTGGCAGTGAATGAGTTAATAATCGGCTTTAGATATCGACCATCAGCAACAAAATTCTTAAAAATCTGCATCGGCCTAAAAAAAACCACCCATATCGGTCGGCCTCTAGCACGTACCCCTGCTGAACCTTCAGAGATCAGTCCTCAGGATCCGATCCAGTGAGCTCAGTCGCTGATTCACATGAAAACTGATTTATTTAATTTTTTTCTCAATGTGCAGGCTTTTAATCCAAGCTGGGTATGATGTAAATATCAAGGACAATGATGGCTGGACTCCTCTACATGCAGCAGCGCACTGGGGCAAAGAGGAGGCCTGCAAGATTCTTGTGGAGAATCAGTGTGATATGGATATTATTAATAAAATGGTAGGTAACCGGTGTAAAAAGCAAACCTGCCTGCAGATGTTGCACAACGCTCAACTTACTTTACCTTTGTTTTCCCCCCAGGGTCAGACGGCTTTTGATGTAGCAGATGAAGACGTTCTGGGATACTTAGAGGAACTCCAAAAGAAACAAAATCTGGTGAGTCAGCGTGGTGCTAACTGGATAATAAATTCAAACCCATTTAAATTGGTTTGGACGTGCGCACGTCTGAGAAAGCCGGGTTTCAGAATCCATTCTGAACGTTGTGCTGTTTTAATTCATTTCAGCTGACGATTGAGAAGAAAGACGTTAAGAAGTCTCCTCTGATTGAAACGACCACCATGGGCGACAACAACCAGTCACTGAAACCACTCAAGAGGTAAATGGTTTTATTCACAAACTATCCAAACTGTTTCCCTTTTTAAATTGTTCTACGGTTATTTATGATCCAGCAAAGAGACTCTGCTCCTGGAGCCGGAAAAGACTGCTCTACGCATCGAGACGCTGGAACCAGAGAAAGTGGATGAGGAGGAGGAGGGGAAGAAGGATGAATCGAGCTGCTCGAGCGAAGAGGAGGAGGAAGAGGATTCAGAGTCTGAGACGGAAGCTGGTGCTCCTTTTTTCTTTTCTCACCACAGAGCTTAAGTAAAAACCGTAGAAAACTGTTTGGGACCTTTTCTTAACCCTCTAATTGTTTTAAACCCTCCAGAAAAAAGCAAACCGGCCCCAGCGGTGAGCAGCAGCTCGACACCCACCCCCACCACCGTCAGCGTCACCGTTTCATCTCCAACTAGCCCTACTAACCAGGTGACAACTCCTACTTCACCGGTTAAAAAGGTACAACTAACCGAACGACCGTTTTAGTTTTCTTTGGACAGAATTTATGTAAATTTAGTCTTAAAAGACCTTCCTGAACATTCAAAAGTGCAGCAAAACCTCGTTGTGACCCGCTACTGACTCGTTGTCCTTCGTGTCTTTTGAACTTGATCTATTCCTGGAAAGCGGCACAATTTCTCTTGCTGACTGGGTTTGCATCACTTAAATTCTAACCCACATTGATTTCAGCAGATTTTTTTTACTTCTCTCTAAAAGACGATGGAACTAAAGTTGTGGAGTTCTAGATTAGGATGAATATTTAGGTATTGGGAGCGCATAGCTTTCTTTTGGGGCTTTGCTGCCCTCTGGTGGCAAGCTGAAGCAAAAGCCATTAAACCACAGTGAGAATGGGGCCTCTCTTTAAGAGAAAGCTCTTTTTATTTTGTTCCGCTGGCTGCAAATATTAGCTAATATGTGTGACTAATGCAAACAACCTGAAAATGTTTTGGAAAGTCATAAACGTCTAGTTTATAAAAGCAGAATGCTCTGGCTAGTTTAGCTCTGGCAGCTTTAACGGGTCCTTTACTCTTTTTGATGATGCTTTTTTTCCTGCAACAAAGCGTATTTAAAGCCAGGTGCTCACAATCCACATCTCTGAATAGAAGTGAGCGTAACAAACAGATGTGTTCCAGCGGCGGCCCTGGTTTGGTCCCTTGTGGCGTGACCTGGCTTTGAATTTCCTGTCCTTGCACACAAAGTCTGTTTCTTTTGCTTCTGCTTCTGTCTTATTCTGTCTTTTTTTTTTTGTCATCCTTTGTCTTCCTCCCTCTCCGTGTTTTTTTTTACTTTTTCATCCCGGGCGCTTGTCTTGGTTGGCTTTAGTTTGATTATATTACTCCTCTCATGCCTTTGGCGGAGCCAGGCTGTCCTTCGCTGTGGCGTCAAGGTTTGCGCAAAACTGGCATTTCTCTTGTGCCCAAAAAGCTGATGGTGAGGCTCTGGTGTGCACCAGCGTTGTTGTCTCGTCCTACATGCACTCATGCTCTCACAAAGCACTAAAACGTCTCCTAACCACGCCCACCTGGTCCAGGTGATGTAGGGTTTTTTCCACTCGATGGGGTCGGCCTGCCTTTAGAGCGTTGCGCAGCACTGAACTCTGGCGTCCTGCTTCAGAAGCAGGGCTACTTTAGCCGAGGCTGAACACTCAGAAATCAGCTCGGATCTGCATTATTTCTATTTTTCTACAAGATTTTTTTTAAATGAAATGAATAGCATCTCGTTCTCTGAACCTTAATGAAAAGGTGGAGCTGCATTTAGTCAGTTATTGTGAGACCACCCTAGTGGAAAAGTCCCAACAACCGACCCGCCCTTCACTCACAAACATCACATGGTGCTGTTTTCACTTTTCAATGCACTGCTAATATTTTCGTGTGTGTGTGTGTGTGTTTCTACAGTTTAAATTGTCCCTGTGAATCATGGTGGTGGTGATGAGTCTGGTCTTAAGGCTGAACGATCTGTTGTTTTCTGATTGAAATTACGATTTCAAACGATCAGATCAGAGTTTTTCAGCACTCCCGACAGACCCAGGATCTGTTAGGTTAACTGTTTTACACACCCAGGGTTTTCCCTCGGTCGCAGCGAGAGCCGACGAGGTGTTGTGTGTTGTGAGAGCCTGCCGCAGCAGCACATGGGTACATTTGGATGTTGTTCCTGTGTTTTTCCTTTTCGTGGCGCTGCTGCAAACAACAACAATCATTGCTGTGATCATCTTGTGGACCCAATCTGCTCCTGACTCCGTCTCTTGTTCGTGTGTGTGTGTGTGTGTGTGTGTGTGTGTGTGTGTGTGTGTGTGTGTCTGTGTAGGGATGCACCGATAAGATACTGGTACCTGTATCGGCACCGATACTGATACCAATACCAGTATCGGTGAAAGTTAACAGATACCAGTGCAGTTGCTTGAAAATGGCTTCACTGTAACTTGTCGTTTCTGTTCACCTAATATTTTAGTTTTGTGATCATTTCCATTCATATATTTTACTTTTTGTCTACCTCAGTCTTTTCCTGTTGAAAGCAGAGAAGAAAATTAAATCTGTATTCCAAATCATTGCATTTTTTTGTGTGGTAGAAGTATCGGTATTGGTAATCGGTATCGGCGAGTACTCAGATCCAAGTATCTGTATCGTATCAGTCTGGAAAAAAGTGGTATCGTTGCATCCGTGTGTGTGTGTGTGTGTGTGTGTGTGTGTGTGTGTGTGTGTGTGTGTGTGTGTGTGTGTGTGTGTGTGTGTGTGTGTGTGTGTGTGTGTGTGTGTGTGTGTGTGTGTGTGTGTGTGTGTGTGTGTGTGTGTGTGTGTGTGTGTGTGTGTGTGTGTGTGTGTGTGCGCGCGAGGGAGGGAGGGAGGGAGGGAGGGAGGGAGGGAGGGAGGGAGGGAGGGACAAAAAGGATGATTCACCAGCATCCTCAAACAGCAGAAAAGCGTTTACCATGATGACATCAAGCGGACTTTAAAGCACAACTTCTTCTTTTTCAAAACCCATCTGATCCTGCCTGATGGCTCAAACTGTTGCAGAGTTAAAGAAAATCAAAGTTGGCATTAAAATATGTCGGCACCTTTAGCTTTCGCCCTTGCTTTAGTGATTGAACCTGTCATTTTTGATGGTATGATGTCATTTCCTGTATTGAATGTAAACACGGTGAACAATAGGCTAGAGCTTTGTTTTAAGGAAATCGTGAACCAAACTGAAAAAGCAATTTCTGCCAGAAAAGTCCCAGTTCGTAAAATCGTTCAGCCCTAGGGGTCGCATGAGTTCAAGCCCCGACTGAGTGAACTGCTGATCATAACCGTGTAATACTTTCCCCTCAACTGCAGCTCCTTTTAAATGAACCTGACAGCGTCTGACCTGATTGGTGGTTGTGTTTCTTAACAAGATGACTAAAATTCTCACAATCGAATAGTGAGTGAGTTTTCATCGTTGCTGCCCCTATGCTCCATCCCAGGTCCCCCAGCCTGCTGGAAAGGTTTCAACAAAAGTGGAGGAGGAGAAGAAGGACGAGTCTCCGGCCTCGTGGCGTTTGGGTTTGAGAAAGACGGGCAGCTACGGGGCGCTCTCCGAGATCACGGCCACTAAGGACACCCAGAGGGAGAAGGAAACCACGGGTGTGATGCGCTCGGCGTCGAGCCCTCGGCTCACCATATCCCTGGACAACAAAGAGAAAGAGAAGGTCAGCTGTTACAGTCAGGTCCATAAATATTGGGACATCGACACAATGCTAACATTTTTGGCTCTATACACCACCACAATGGATATCAAGATGTGCTTTAACTGCAGACTCAGCTTTTATTTGAGGGATTTACATCCAAATCAGGTGAACGTTGTAGGAATTACAACAGTTAGCATAAGTGCCTCCCACTTGTTAAGGGACCAAAAGTAATGGGACAGAATAAGAACGCTAGCTAGCACATGTCCTAATTGATGATATCTCCACCATTTTTCAAGATAAAACGATGAGACTCTAGACCCTTAGAAAGTATGAGCGGTAAGCCCTATCTACCAAATTTTGTTTGGATTCACCAATAGGGGGCGCTAAAGAGTCAAACAGTTTCAAAACGGCTCGATGGATTTCCACAGAACTTGGCAGATATGTTTATCATCGGACCCTTAAGCTATATTTCGAAAATGATTAAAAAGTGGGCGTGGCTTATAGGCTTTAAAATGTTTCGCCCTTTTACTCATGAAAAATATATATTCTGTACAGAAAGTAAAAAATCATATCAGTCATAGTGACATCTACAATCACAGAAAAAAATTTGATTTTTGTCCAGTAGGTGGCGCTGTTATAGCCAAAAAATGTTTGGGGCATGTTTCTCCTCAATTTTTTGTAAAAAAAAAAAACAACAAACAAAAAAAAAACAAATGATCTCATCATGTATATTCATTGAGTCAGTCAAGTTTAGATGAGTATTAAAAATTTTTTTTTTAACTTATGCAAATTAGTAGAAATTTGCATAGTAAGTCAATCAATCAATCAATCAAAGCTTTATTTATAAAGCACCTTCCGCAACCCTGTCAGGAAGCCCAAGGCGCCCAAGTCAAACGTACTTTCGTTAACTCCTCCCGGCCGTCAAACACAATCAAATCAAAACATGGCTTGACAAGAGAGGAGGAGCGGCTGACCAAACGATGTGAACAGATTTTGGAGAATTCGCCTATTTTTCGAAATATGACTTTTAAAAAAAATTTTTTTTTTTTTTTGGAATGAAAAAGTTTTTTTTTAGCATAACTTCAAAAGATGTTGACATTTTTCACAGCTGTTCATAACCGTCATACCTAAGGTCAATTCAAGTGTATGTCTTGATTTTCAACTTGATTCAACAATAGGGGGCGCTATAAATAGGAAGAAATTATACTGCTGAACCGGCTAAATGGATCTGCACGAAACTTAGTGGTTGTCATCATTATAAAGTCTTAAGACTACTTTATCAATATTGTAATGATTGATAAAAGTGGGCGTGGTTTATGATGATTTAAATTTTCAAATTTGAAAAAATTTCTAAAAATAATTATTTGCATGTAAGAGGCTAAGATTTTCAGGTTGTGTTAACTGGGTAGCCTTGAGCTTATGTCATGAAAATCGCAGCTCCACGAAGAGGTTTGTGCTTTATATTTACGAAAATACATTTTTAGGCTAGCAGTTGTAGCGCAAATTCTGTTATGACAATCTTCTAGAAATTTGGCACAAAGTTCACTCTTTGGTGGTTTATGAAACACGTAAAATGTTGTCTTGATTTGAGCACCCCCTTGTGTTTAATTATAGGACTTATTTTTGGTGACTGCCACTAATGCAAATATTATTTTATTGTAAGAAAAGTTTAACATTTATGATCCCTACAAAAGTATAAACAGAATTTCCACATGACAGAGGCAATCTGGGAATATTTTGAGATTTCTGTACAAAAGCATAGATTTTTAAAGAATTTTAACTTTTTGCCAGTTTTTCTGTATAGTTGGACAAAAAAGTAAATAATTTACGTTAGAAAGTTTTTTAGGTATACGGTAAATATGAATCATTTATAACATTCCACATGTACCTATGGTGATCTGAGATTTTTCTACTATTTTTAGAAAGTAGCACTATTTTTTATGAATGTTTTAATTTTGGCTGTGACCCTTATTTATATTTAACAATTTTTCTTCATAAAAGGTTTGAGTCTACTGATTTAAAAACAATATCATATTATTCCACATGTTAACATTGCCATGTGAGAATATTTAGGTAATTTTATGATGATATATGTATTTTTCAGGATTTTTTAAACATTTGATCAGCAAGTCAAAAAATGAAAATCATAGTTTTTGTTGAAAATCTTATAGATCTAGAGACATTATCAAGTATTTGTTATTTGTAATATTCTGTTGATGTATAGATTATTGTTTGATAATCTTTAGATCAAATATGGATTTTATAATTAAGTTTTTGTTTCGGTCAGTTTAATTGTACATCTCAATATAATTGTTTTTTGAAAAAGCATTTCATTTACAATCAATAAAATGACAAAACCTGATTTCTCATCACTTCGCTCATTAAATCTTCACGTTCTTTAAAAAGGAAACGGTGGAATTTCATTATAATCACGACTGAGAAGTCAGCCATGCCTGTGAAAGATTTGTGTATAGGCTGTGCAAGAGGTTTCATGACAAATCCTGAGTGTTCCTTTCACTGCGCCGGCTGAAGTGAGCTGACGGGGCGCCGGCGGGAGAACGTGTTTTTGGAGCGGGACCGCGTGAGGAATGGCGAAGGTGAGGGCGGGGCTGGGTGGGGGGCTGGCGCTGGTTGGCTTGGAACCCGTAGATAACTGCTTGCAGTTCTAGTTCAGCTTGAGAATGCACCTGTTTTTAGTAGCTTCTATGTCAGTTTGATATGTTTGTTTTTATCATGTTTTTACTTTGTGATGAACTTTTGATCTTATTTTTAGAATTTTTAGGGAACTTCTGTTCTTTTTGGCTTGTTAAGCACTTTGGTCAGCTTTTATGCTGTTGTTAAGTGCTTTTTAAATAAAGTTGACTTGACTTGACTAGAGCCCTGGCAGAGCATCACCAGGAATGAAACCCAACGTCTGGTGATGTCTGTGTTCCAGACTTCAGGTTGTAATTGACTGCAAAGGATTTGCAACCAAGCATTGAAATGTATAAGTTTGATTTATGGTTCTTATTCTGTCCCATTACTTTTGGTCCCTGAACAAGTGGGAGGCACAAATGCAAACTGTTGTAATTCCTACACCGTTCACCTGACTTGGATGTAAATACCCTCAAATAAAAGCTGACCGTCTGCAGTTAAAGCACATCTTGTTCGTTTCATTTGATATCCATTGTGGTGGTGTATAGAGCCAAAAATGTTAGCATTGTGTCGATGGCCCAATATTTATGGACCTGACTGTATCTAATACGTCGTTTCTCCATTAAGACGGCACAATCAGGACATGATTTGTTTTCTAGATATTTTATTGTCACTAGTTTTAAACCCCATAATTCTGCTTCCTACAGGAAAGAGACAAAGGAACCCGACTGGCCTATGTGGCCCCAACCATCCCCAGGAGACTCGCCAGTGCTTCCGACATGGATGAGAAGGAAAACCGGTGAGTCCTTGGAGCCCAGAAGGATCTCTGTACAGACGTGTATCAGCATGAGTGGCTCCTGTTGCTCACAGCTGTGTGTTGCAGGCAGAATCCCTGATGCTCTGCATGATGTGTGTGTGTGTGCCTCTAAGCAGTAACGTAATGTGCCAGTGCTTAAACCGGAGGACACTGCTGATGGGAACACTCGTGTTAAAGATGTGTGTTATCAGAAACACTAACAGCATGTGGGTCCACAGGGACTCTGCTGCAGTGAGACGGAGTGGCTCTTACACTCGCCGGCGCTGGGACGACGACCTGAAGAACAACGATGGAACCTCCTCCACCAATCGAACCCCCAGCTACCAGCGCAGGTTAGCCCTGGCTGCAGCTTCCACCCTCTAATCCCATCATCTGATCCGATGTGTAGACACTGTCGATAGCTCCCCCAGCTAGCCATTAGCTCCTCCCCATCCCCACCACAGAGTGCGCTGCATGACCGTACCTGTGCTGTCAGGGACGCATCGCTGACGTTAAAACGAGGCTCGATGCTGCCTGTTGGATCGGATAAATCGCATTCCCAGGGTTGTTTATGGCTCAAAGCCTAAATGTGGAATTATGCTGCGTTCATTTCAAATACAGGAGTTCTGGCTAGACGCCACCTTCAGAGAACACCCAGGTGTTTATGTTCCTGAAGCTGCTGGGAACCTGTTGTTTCTTGTGTCTTCTTGGCTTCTGATTTTGGTTTCCTACAAAGAGCCTTGAATCTACAGCGCCGTGCAAAAGTCTTGAGCCACCACTTTATTTTTGCTTTAAATGAGCGTAATATTTAGTCTTGTGATGTGCTGTTGAGCAGCATTTCTCCAGGCTTTCTGAAGGGCTTGCATATGACATCTCCAGTTTTTGTCCAGTTGTTCTCTTATAAAGTATTCTTTAGTTTAAGCTTAAGTGATAATTCATTGTTTCATACAACAGAAAGAGCGAAAATAACCAGTTTTAATTGTCTTTGAAACACTTCAATCCTAAAGATTCATCATCCTTCAGGATTTCAAATCTTATTTAAAGAGCAAGTCACCCCCAAATCAACTATTTTTTTCTGATAAACTATATAAATGTGTGTCTAATTGTGCTGCAGACATGTGTAGTTTGGCACTTTAGTGCATCTTCGTTAAAATTGTAATATTCTGCCTAAAACTGTCAGTGTTGCACCGTCGTCAGGTAAAAACTCAGCACCGCATTTGAATTTTAATCTGCCGTCGCTATTGGCTAAGAGGTACCCTAGAATGTTAGCTGGTACCATATGATGTCACAATGTCGTGTGTGTGTGTGTGTGGGTGTGGGTGGGTGTGGTTTGTTAGTGGCTCCGCCCTCTCAGTCTGCTAGGCAACAGCATTTGTTGCGTTTTTCAAACAGGAAGTGGGAGTGGAGTAATACTCTGGTACCAACTCAACTCAACTCCTACTTCCTGTTTGAAAAACGCAACAAATGCTGTTGCCTAGCAGACCGAGAGGGTGGAGCCGCTAACGAATACACACACACTCACGACATTGTGACATCATAATGTACCATCTAATATCATAGTGTGCCTCTTAGCCAATAGCGACGGCAGATTTAAATTCAATTACGGTGCTGAGTTTTTACGTGACGACGGTGCAACACTGACAGTTTTAGGCAGAATATTACAATTTTAACTAAGATGCACTAAAGTGCCAAACTACACGTGTCTGCAGCACAATTAGACACACATTTATATAGTTTATCAGAAAAAATAGTTTATTTGGAGTGACTTGCTCTTTAATGTTTTTACCCTTTTGAGAGTAACAGTTTAGCTCTTAGTCAATCTTGTTGTCTGTTTGCATTTTCATAAACAATATTTATAGGAAATTTTTGCAAACAGATTTCTAATTAAACAAAGAATTTCAACTTAGTTGATTTCCATTTGTTAGCTCTACCCACAGCGTTGTGTTTTAATGCTTGAGTGGTTCATAGGTCAGAGTTGAGTGTTAACAGGTCAGGAATGAGTTGGTTAGTTGAACTGCCGCCCAAAGCTACAGGATCACAAGGAGATCCGACCTTTTCTGGTCCGTAAATTATTATTATTATAATTAACACGATTCCGTTTTACATCCTAAATGTTTTGGATCGTTTTTAAAGCTAAAACAAAGATTGCTTTCCCCAACATTTGATTTGAAGTGCGTAGCTGCTCTGTTTGCCACAAACGCAGCAAAAGCTTCATTGTGTCAGATCTGTTTGTCTTGTTTTGTATATTAATGTGTGTGTGTGTGCACCTTCATCGCTAACTTGCCTCTCTCGCCCACCTGCCTGCTGTCACGCTAGCACGTCCCATACGCTAGCGCTAGGGCGGAGCGGCAGCACGCGGGACGTGCCAGCCAAGTCTTCGTCCACCTCCAGCTTGGACCCTAACACCTATAACACTAAACCCTGGCAGCCGCCCTCCTCCCACTACCAGTCTTACAGCATTTACCGCAGGTACACGGCTGTCTCTACACCCACCTGTCTGTCCTCTCTGACCATGTTTTCTGTCTTCTATTGCTGAGGAAAAACTGGAAAACGTATTTACATCCGTTAGTCGGACAAATGAAAGATTTCAGTTCATGCTCTGACAACAATGTCTCTAAATGACCTGAATCCATCTGCTGGAGTTTTGGTTCCTCTGCTGTTTTCTGCGTAGAACCGATGGTTCTCCAATTTTGGACGAGTGGATTACCAGAACAGTTCTATTAGTATAAAGTTGGATTTAATAGCAACACATTTTCATTTTAACATCCGAGTTTGAGTTTGCATCTTTTTTAATTCAAAATCGAAATTTCCCCAATTATACACATTATAAAAATTTAATCCTAAACTAACAAAACTGATTTTCATTGCTGTAAAATTAAAGCAAGACCCAATATTTAATAATTATTTAATAATAATAATTTAATCATAATAATTACTGTGTCTAATTGTTGATGTTCGTACTTATATGTTTGAGGCTTTTTTTTTTTTTTTTTGCATAGTAAAGCTACGCCCTGCCGAGTAACTCTGGTATGCCTTTATTTTTTATTTTTTCCCTCCCCCAATTAATCCTCATGTAATCCCCTTTTCATCTAAATAACGGTAGCGCGACTCTTGTTGCGAATGACCACAGTACCAATTCTTCTGTACTGAAACAATTGCCCCTCGGGGATGATAACAAAATTTTTTAATTTTAATTTTAAAAGGGTTTCTGTTTATAGTGCAAAGATTGTTGGGGCCATATTTGACTCGCTGACCATTGAGCTGAAGCTTCCGTTTTATTGACGACTGATTACTTTTGTTCAGAAGTCCTTGTGCCGACGCTTCTCCTACAGAACAGTAGAGATCCACCGATGTGGATTTTTCTATTGCTGATACTGGGTTGTAGAGGTCACGTTCAGCCGATGCCGTTTTCTGGCTTAAGTGTAAATGTTTTTAGCCTCATCTACGTGCTAAAATGTCTCCACTAACAATGGGTGCCGCTCAGTATTAAAAACAAACATATACCATACCATACCATCTTTATTTATGAAGCACATTTAAAAACGGCATGGCAGCCGACCAAAGTGCTGTACAGAATAAAAAGTAAAAACACAATATAAAACAATACACTGTCAACAATAAAATGCACAACAAGGCAGATAATTACAGTCAATAAAAGACACATAATAAAATAATAAAAGTCAGGGATTTAAAAATGCCTGGTCGTAAAAGTGAGCCTTAAGCAGCGATTTGAACCGGAGTAGGGATGGTGCCAGCCTCACCGAAAGAGGAAGTGCATTCCATAGTGTCGGAGCAGCATAGACAAAAGCACGCTGACCCCGCGTTTTGTATTTCATTAATGGAACACGAAGCAGCAGGCAATCAGCAGACCTCAACGCCCGGTTTGGCGTTTGGTTTGGTTTGGTTTAAAGCTTCAGTGGCAAATGTGCAAAACTGATCAGCTTAACATTTGTTTCATGCATCTTAACGATGTTCTAACACAGTTTAGCTAACCATATGTGATTTAAAACGATAAAAAGAATTATTGAAGTGGTTCTATTTTTTTAGTCTCAAACCTCCGCCAATAACACGTTTTGGACTGAAAGCAACTGTTGGACCGTCCTGTTGTCGGTCTCGCTGAACCGCTGCACTTCCCTGGGCCCTCCATTCATCACACACGCGTATTTAGCAGAACACCACCTCTGTGAGAGGTTCTCTTAATAATATCAGAGGAGGAGAAACAGCCGGCTGCTACCACTACAACTTTAGCACAAACTGCCAGAGTCCCATAAAGAAAAACACCATTTGAATTCACGGACAGCAAAGACGTTTGGAGATTGGTGTTTAGCACGATCTCGTTTACAGGGTTGATGCGGGTTCCCATATCAGGGGGTGTGGCCCAGGGATGATGGCGAACGGGAGGTGTGAGTTCTGTGTTTGTGTTTATAAGCCAGCTTGTTTTGCAGATTTGCTTTTAAAGCTTTTACGCAACGTTAATCAAACAAATCCGTAAACTGGCCAAATATTGAATATGAATAAAAAGGTCAATAAAACAAGTCAGCTGACAATAATGTTTTAGAGCATTTTATTAAGCAGATTTTATTTAGGAATGTGCATATCAGGCTGTCCGTGGATGTGCCTGACTGTAAATCAGATCTACAGAGATGTCTATCGACCAATGCAGAGCTTGAATAAGCTCATGTTTGAGGTAGAAGTTAGCAGAAGGTGAGGCTAACATTACCTCACTTCCTTAGCTTTGCTACATATTTGTTCAGCTGACATTTCTTTGTTTTCCAACAAAACATAAATTCAATTAAATTCAGTTCAAGTTTATTTATATAGCGCCAAATCACGACAAGAGTCGTCTCAAGGCACTTCACATAATAAACGTTCCAATTCAGGTCAGTTCATTAAGCCAATCAGTAAAATGTTTCCTATATAAGAAACCCAGCAAATTGCATCATGTCACTGACTAGTGTCAGCAATCCTCATACTAAGCAAGCACGCAGCGACAGTGGAGAGGAAAACTCCCTTTTAACAGGAAGAAACCTCCAGAGAATCCTGGCTCAGTATAAGCAGCCATCCTCCACGACTCACTGGGGATGGAGAAGACAGAGCAGACACACACACACACACACACACACACACACACACACACACACACACACACACACACACACACACACACACACACACACACACACACACACACACACACACACACACACACACACACACACACACACACACACACACACACACACACGCACACACACACCAAGCAATGTGTCTATGGTTACATTGTGATTTCTTAGTAAATATTCTATTTGGTGAGAGATAAACTTTGTTGTATTTATCCTAGTGAATCTATAATTAAACGGGTAAACTAGTAGTAGCACATCCAACGTCAAGGAAAGCAAAAAGTTATTATCAGGAGAGGGAGAATGTTTTAGTGGTTAGCAGCAGTGTGCTAGACGATGGCCCCCTCCATGAGGCCACCACAGCTCAGCAGAACATGTTCTCTGTAATCAGACCTTCCGGTGTCAGTACAGGATCTGCTCGGGTGCAAGATCGGCTCGGGGTCCTTCGACTGCTGATGACGTCAAAGTAGATGATTGGCTGAACATGAACCTTATGGAAGTTACTTAATCACGTTACGTTGGTCCAGGCAAATTTTTCTGTTGGAAAGATGGACAACTTTTACAAAGAAATCCATCATTACCTCTTTGAAAATACACTTTTAGCATAGAGCTGCATGTATATTAGGGCTGAACGATTAATTTCATGTGCAATTAAATTGCGATGTGGCAAAAGGAGATTTTCTAATCGCAAAAGCTGTTATTTGGCAGCGAGTGGTTAGCGCAATGCTAATATACGTGGAAAAACCCATAGGAATGCTAATATCACAGATTACATTATTACAAATTATGAATTAGAAACGTGCCAAATGATTACATTTGGAGTCTAATAGAAAGTAAAACTACCATCAATCAAATAAGTACAGACAGGTATTTTAGTAAAGCCAGAAAACTTTTAACTCCAGAGTTTTGGCTAGCAGCTATGAGCGTAACTGAACTACGCATGGACAAGACGTCAAAAACTAAACACAAAATACTTCAATAAACGGGACACACTTCTTTCCTGCAAATACAATTTCACAGGTGTTGCTAATACCCGTGATCCTTCAAGGGATGTGCTCAAAGAGGAGTTCAACATAATGAATACAATATAGTGTTTTATTTTACAAATACCATTATAAACACAAACTTATGTCTTAAGAAACATTATTTTAATAACAAAGCTGTTAAATTCTTTCCAACAGTATAAAGATGTGTAGTGTATTTTGTCCGAGTGGGTTTGCCGTACTTTGATGTTATCGGCAGTCGAAGGACCCCGAGCTGATCTTGCACCCGAGCAGATCCTGTACCGACACCGGTATAAATGTGCGTAGGCCTCTGGTCCTTCCATCTCTGCACTCCTCTGCTATGATCTTCATTAAAACAGGAAGTTGCACAGATCTCGCCTGCTAGCTTTTATGCTTTCTGCTGCTTCTTAAATGTAACTCTTCTGCATGTTTGTTCTTCCTGCAGCGGCTCGTTTGGAAGAAGGCACGAAGACTTGAGCTCCACCACCTCGTCCTCCTCCACGACCACCACCTCCTCGTCTGTTACCTCGCCCACAGGCCACCGCGGCTTGTTCTCTAGCCTGGGCTCCTCTTCCACCCGAACTGGCTCCACCAGTCTCACCAGCAGGTAAAGATTTTACACCCGGTGTGGTTGGAGCACGTTCCCTTGGCTAGTTTTCCTGTTTCAGGGTAAATGTGTGTGTTACTAGGTACTGGTCGGAAGAGAGTGCAGAGAGGGAGAAGGATTCTGCTGCGGTTATCCCCACTATCAACACTGGCTCTACTACGACCACCACGTCTACCGCTACAACCGCCATATCTACCACCACCACCGGCACCGGCATCATCACGGGCACCGGGTCGGAAAGGCGCAGGTAACGCATCGTTGAGCTGAGAGGGGGCGGGGACAGCAAGAGAGATTTGTTAGTACTCGGATTTGAGTTTTGGCTGTTCTTGGGTGTGGGTGGGTGCGTTGGTCGTCTTTCCAGCAAGAGAAAGTGTCTGCATGCGTGTTTCCCGCTTCTCCTCCAGCTTCACTGGCTGCCAGTCAACTTCAGGGTTCATTTCTAGATCCTGGTTCTGGTCTATAGGGCCTTACATGGACAAGCACCATCTTACATTGGTGATCTTCTTAGTCCCTACACCCCCAGCAGGTCCCTGAGGTCCAGTGATCAAAGCCTACTGGTTGTGCAGCACCAGGCTAAAGACCAAAGGTGACAGATCATTTGCTGCCGTGGCCCCCAGACTCTGGAACTCTCTCCCCCTGAGCCTGAGATCAGTGGACTCAGTGGTCTCCTTTAAAAAGCAGCTGAATACTCACCTGTTCAAGCTGGCTTTTGTATGACCTTCTTCACCACTCTCTCTTTATTCTGCTCTCCCCACCTATTCCACCTTCCTCAGGATCCACCGATTTCCCTCTTTCCTGTTCACTCTCTCTCTTTCCTATTTACTCTCTCTCTTTCTTAACATTTTTTTAATTACAATTGCCTATTTTTGCTCATTTTAAATATATTTTTAAACATTTTCTAAAAGCTTTTTTACATTTTTTTGTTTTTGTGAAGCACCTCGTGATTTTTATCTTGAGAGGCGCTATCGAAATAATTTCTTCTTCTTCTTCTCTCTTCTCTCCTTCTTCTTCTCTCTTCTTCTTCTCTCCTTCTTCTTCTCTCTTCTTCTTCTTCTTCTTCTTCTTCTTCTTCTCTCTTCTTCTCTCCTTCTTATTCTCTCTTCTTCTTCTTCTTCTCTCTTCTTCTTCTTCTTCTCTCTTCTTCTCTCTTGTTCTTCTTCTCCTTCTTCTTCTCTCTTCTTCTCTCCTTCTTATTCTCTCTTCTTCTTCTTCTCTCTTCTTCTTCTTCTTCTCTCTTCTTCTTCTTCTTCTCTCTTCTTCTCTCTTGTTCTTCTTCTCCTTCTTCTTCTCTCTTCTTCTCTCCTTCTTATTCTCTCTTCTTCTTCTTCTTCTTCTCTCTTCTTCTCTCCTTCTTATTCTCTCTTCTTCTTCTTCTTCTCTCTTCTTCTTCTTCTTCTCTCTTCTTCTCTCTTGTTCTTCTTCTCCTTCTCTCTTCTCCTTCTTCTCTCTTCTTCTCTCTTCTTCTTCTTCTTCCTCTTCTTCTTCTTCTTCTCTCTTCTTCTCTCCTTCTTCTTTCTTCTTCTTCTCTCTTCTTCTTCTTCCTCTTCTTCTTCTTCTTCTCTCTTCTTCTCTCTTTCTTCTTCTTCTCTCTTCTTCTCTCTTCTTCTTCTTCTTCTCTCTTCTTGTTCTTCTCTCTTCTTGTTCTTCTTCTCCTTCTTCTCTCTTCTTCTTCTTCTCTCTTCTTCTCTCCTTCTTCTTTCTTCTTCTTCTTCTCTCTTCTTCTTTCTTCTTCTTCTTCTTCTTCTTCTTCTTCTTCTCTCTTCTTTCTTCAGTAGTTAGGGCCCAATAAATGTTCTTGTGCAGCAGCGCTGAAACAAGCTACCTGTCATGGCGTGACGTGGGCGGGGTCGCTTCAGAGCCGAGAGCGCTCCGACTTCTCCATTTAAGGAAGGTGGGCAGAAGTTGCGGCTTGAAGGTCGAAGCTCCGCGTGTTTCCAACTGAGCGAGTCTCCGTTTATGCGGCCGCGATTATTTACTCTTCATTTCACTCGTTTAAGAAAACCTGAGTTCTGGGAACCTCCTGAATAAAAGACAAGCCTGGGCATTAGAATACGTGAATGTGTTTTGGTGTGTGTCTGTCAGGTCGTACCTGACGCCGGTGCGAGACGAGGAGTCGGAGTCTCAGAGGAAAGCTCGATCCAGACAGGCCCGGCAGTCACGAAGGTCCACACAGGTTAGTTCGGGTCTGAAGAGGAAAGTCTGGTGTCACCATCGAGGGTCTGTTCAGATATTTACAGTCCCCCTTGCTCCTTTGTCAGACTTCAGCTCCACAGGTACGGGCGTTCAAATAAAACTGTGTTTCTCGTTCAGGGAGTGACTCTGACCGACCTGCAAGAGGCTGAAAAGACCATCGGCAGGAGTCGCCCCCTAAAGACCCGCGAAGAAGAGAAGGAGGAGAAAGAGAAGCAGGACAAGGAGAAGCAGGAGGAGAAGACGGAGACGAAGGAGGACGATTACCAATCGAAGTACCGTAGCTTTGAAGAGGTATTGATCTCCACTCCGGACTAGAGTAGATCACAGCTTCTCGTCGTTCCCTTACCGGTCATTAAATGTTCTCCTTCTCCCCCACCAGCGTTATCGACCCTCGTCTTCCTCCTCCACCTCGGCCATTTCCACAGTCAGCACTGCCTCCACTACTTCTTACTCGAGCACCCCGCTGTCCTCCAGCTCCAGTTCCCTCAACAGGCCCAACAGCCTGACGGGGATCACTTCCTCCTACAGCCGCTCCTACAGAGACACAGAAAAAGGTCTTTAGAGTCAGAGTTCACTATAATAACTGAGTATTTTGTCCAAGTACAGCTTATGTATAACTCAGTAACTGGTGCATTTGATGTGGCTCTGACCTCCCTCCCCAGGTTAACTTGGGCTGATTAAGGGTAGTGAGGCAGTAAGAGGTTGGGCTGCCTTTTCTGTTTAGGCACAAATACATAAAGTTCCTCTGGGAAGATGGGGAGGCCGGTTTAGTTGGTGCAGCTGGAGGAAACGCCGAGCTCTGGCCAGCATCCTTGTTTCACCTAAACTTAGATCCTTCACAGGATTAATTATGGTTTTTTTAGCACTGACCTAAACGTGACAAAAGGGGTCAAACGAGGGTTGTAGTGTGTGAAAAGTGTTCGGGTTTAAAGGCTCGTTTACTCCAGCTGCTTCTACAGGTTTTCCGTCGTGGCGACGGAAATCCGTCAGTTGGAATAATCAGGAAAAAACGCTCCTTTTTTTACCTCAGAGAAATCTCATCACCCACACTTTTAAACACTGTATGTGAACGGGTTATTCCAAAATTTTCAAAATCAGGAAAAATGACCTTAAAACCAATCAAAACCCAAATAGTGGCTGCGTGTAAACAATGTGAGTCCCCCCCCCCCCCCCCCCCAATAGTTTTCAGTCAGATGGGAATTTTTTGCTTCATTCCCTGCCATAGCGTTAGCAAAACGGGATTTGCCGTGGCTCCCTGAGGAGGATAAAGGTCGTTTATAAGACCAGACCATGGCGGTAATGTGACACAATCGTGGCAGTTTTGTAAAAGAGTAGGTGATGGCGGCATAAAGAGGGTATGAGGGCGATCTCTGCACTGCCGCAGACTTCCGTTTGTCTTGGACATAACTTGCATTTTATTGCGATTGAAGCCGTGATCGTTGAGTTTTTTTTTTTAACAAGCAGCTCCTGAAGGTGTCTGTCCCCATCAGTGCCTGTGCAGTCTCTGGTGATCTGAGCTTCAGCTCTAACAGAGAGGCTCATGGAGCTCTGCGGTGCTCCAGTTTGCCATCTCAGCTGATTTTGTTCAAAAAGCAAACCTTATTGCCTGTGTTTACTTTCATTTTCAATGAATTCACCAGCCGGAGCTCAGCAATAACTCCCCACGTCATCATGACATCCGCCTCTGTTGCACCAGGGTGCATACGACGGATCATTACCGCAATATTACTACCAAGCGAGGCGGGACGAATGCCGCAATATTTGCGCAACACCAAGTCAGCATGGCGCGTTTATAGACACACCATTGCGGTAATATTACGCTGATTTGCCGTCGTGGTGCGTCTTCGATTGCAAATTGCACACGAATGCTGAACATGGATGCTCCGTGCCCATCTCCTGCATCAGCCGCTGGAAGGAAGCAGACGGGAAAATGATCGGGTCATAAATAAGCCAGTGTTTTCTACACCACAGGGAAAATTAGCATTTATGGCCCTGCCCACTTTGGCTTGCGAGTCGGGACTGCCCGCAGGAGGCAGAGAGCAGAGCACGTCACAGCTAGCTGAAGATAACCATTAGCATTAATGTCAACATTTCATCTTTTATCCAAGAAAGAAGAGCGAACGGAGGCAGCGGAAGAGTTGTGTTGCTATTAGCCAATCAGAGTCGATGCATTTGCAAATCATAAACATTGAGTAAGATTCCGAATTCTGTCGTTTTCTGCTGACACGCTACTCTGATGGGCGTTTTCCCATTCGTACTAGACATTGAAAAAAGAGTGAATGAAACCTTTAAAGAGCAAGTCACCCCAAATCAACATTTTTTTGCTGATAAACTATCTAGATGAGTGTCTAATCGTGCTGCAGACACGTGTAGTCAATAATGTGGCACCAGAGTGAATCTTTGTTAAAATTTGCCTAAAACTGTCCGTGTTGTCAGGTAAAAACTCTGAACTACATTTGAATTTAAATCTGCCATCGTTATTGACTAAGAGGTACACAATGACGTTAGCTGGTACATTATGATGTCACAATGCTGTTGTGAGCCTGAGGGTGTGTGTGTATGTGTGTTAGTGGCTCCGCCCTCTCAGTCTGCCAGGCAACAGCATTTGTTGCATTTTTCAAACATGAAGTGGGAGTGGAGTAAGTTTCTTGTAGGGGGGTGACTTGCTCTTTAATAGGATATAAAGTCTAGACGTGAATATAGCAGCAATGTGATTTTTATTGGTACAACGTGTCCATCATCATCATCATCATCATATTGAACAGAAACGGACAAAAGGGAGGAGGATAAAGATGGTGAGGACAAACCCCGCTCCATACGGGATCGCAGGCGGCCCCGCGAGAAGAGACGCTCCACTGGGGTGTCCTGGCCTCAAGATGTAAGAGACTTAGTTATTTGATGTTTTATTTATTTATTTATTTTTAGAGGCTGTAACACCTGCACAGGTGTAACCTCCAGGTGATCCGCCTTGATCGTGTCGTAGGTATCTCTAACCTGTTGTAATCTGGATAATTAATTCTAGGGTGATCTAAACGACCCTGATCAGCAGTCCGACACAGAGGAGGGCCGCACCAAAGGAGAGCCACAAGTAACTAACACACACACACACACACACACACACACACACACACACACACACACACACACACACACACACACACACACACACACACACACACACACACACACACACACACACACACACACACACACACACACGGCAGAGTCAGTCAAGCCAAACTGGTTGTATTCTTTTCTGATCTCTGTTCTCGCCCCTCCCTTTTGCCTCATCTCATGCCACCGGCTCCGTGAAAGTCCTGCTGTCTGATATTCACTCCTCCTCTCTCCACAGCTACCGTTTCCTCCCCTCCCACGTATCTTTCATTTTCACTGTCTGCAGCCTTTTGAAGTTTTATTATTTCCCCATTTTCATTTTCCGGTGATTGTTGCTCCGGCGACCTCACTGACCTACCGTGCTCTCAGCAGGTTCACAAAACCTGCAGCCGCACAAAGCAAAGGAAGTCCGGCTCTTTGCTTTAAAGTGCACAAATCAGTTAACTTGAACCTTCGGAAGAAGGTCTGTGAGAGAAACGATCCTTTCCAGATATTCTTATGTTGATCTGAATGGGATTGTGGGGGTTAATGAGGAATAATTTGACGTTTTTAGCCTCTTAAGTTTAAGTAAATCTCCCAGATTAGCAGAATCACTCATGCTGTTTATGGCGGTAGCAACATGAAGCAGAAAGAGCGTCCTTGTGATTGCTTGCCAGATGAACTTCCTGTTTGGAAGGGACTGTCGTTTATAGAAGAACATAAACACGGCCGTCATCAGAGAGACGAGGAAGATGCAAACCAGCTGCTGGCTGTCGCTTATTGTGGGTGGAGCAGCAACAAAGCTCTAAAACAAGCATTAGCCTTCGTATGGAAATGCAGAGTTATACAGGAAACCCTTTAGGTAATTCCAGCTTCTTCAGCAGATAATCGGCCGCTCAGGGTTCAGAAGAAGTCTCCCGTTGGGTAGACAACGTGTTGATTGATTAAATGTTTATTTGTATAATTTAGACTCATTTATTCAATCAGAAGAGTCCGTTTTATCTTCTGACTTTAACTTGCCAGTTTTATCTTCTGACTTTAACTTTGTGTTTTTATTTCCTTGCAGAGTGACCAGGGCCCCAGGTGAGCTACAACTTCTTCTCCTAAAGTTTCTGTGTTTTATCTGCAAGCTCTGCTAAAGCCGAGTGTCTCCAACAGGAACAATGGCGACCGCCGGCCGGAGAGAGACGACACCACCGACTACAAGAAGGTACGCGCTCGGCTTATTCTGTTGTTCAAACACATGTTCTGTTCTGCACGTTTTATTAAAACGACGCGTTTTTAGATCTTTTCTCAGGCGTTTCTACGGTTACTAAAGTGGAATCACGAGCATGTCATACGCTTCAGCTGGTTTTGTTGACGGTTAAACGAAGAGTGTAAAGAGTCGATATTTGCAATGTCGGTCCTTTTAGGACATCCTGACACGACTGACCCGAGGCATTTTTTTTGTCGCACGGTGCACCGTCATGCTGGAAAACACGTTCATCAGCAGACTGTTCTTGGTTAGTTGGGAGGAGTTCCTCTCGGAGGATGTTTAGGCACAGTTCTTTATCCATGGCTACGACCCTACGCTCAGATTACACCTGGTGCGTGAGCGGTGCGTTACAGAAGCATGGCGGTCTCTGCGGCTAGTAGAAGTTTTTAGAGTTCTACACCAGGCCGTTTCAGGCATGTTTCAGATGTTTAAGTGTATGTGTTTAGCAGACGCTTTTGTCCAAAGCGACTTACATGTGATAATCGGCATGTTACCCTTGAGGCTAACAACAACAACAACAACAACAACAACAACATTGACATCAGTCATGGAGAGGAGGGAACAAGGAGTGGACAGTAGAGAGGGGGACGGGTGCAGGGAGGGTGCTAGTTTAGAAGATGCTCTCTGAAGAGGAGGGTCTTCAGGAGTTTCTTGAAAGTCGAAAAGGAAGCCGCTGTTCTGGTAGTGCTTGGTACGTCATTCCACATGTGTGGAACGATGCATGAGAAGAGTCTGGATTGTCCTGAGCGTGGTGTAGGCACTGCTAGCCGACGATCCTGCGATGACCGGAGCGGCCGGGCCGAGACGTAAGCCTTTGCAAGAGGATTCAGGTAGATGGGAGCCGTACCATCTCGGACTTTGTATGCTAGTGTTAGCAATTTGAATTTGATGCGTGCTGCTAGCGGTAGCCAGTGGAGCTCAATGAACAGAGGGGTGACATGTGCTCTTTTTGGCTGATTGAAGACCAGACGCGCCGCAGCGTTCTGGACCATTTGAAGAGGTCTCACAGTACAGGCTGGAAGACCAGTTAGAAGGGCGTTGCAGAAATCGAGGCGGGAGATGACAGTAGATTGCACCAGGAGCTGGGTGGCATGTTGTGTTAGGTATGGTCTGATCTTTCTTATGTTAAACAGCGCAAAGCGGCATGAACGAGCAACAGAGGCAACATGATCTTTAAAGGTCAGGTGTTCATCAATCACAACACCCAGATTTCGAACTGCCTTTGAAGGAGCCAGAGATAGGAAGTCATTTTGGATTGAGATATTGTGCTGTATGGATGGTTTTGCTGGGATGACAAGTAGTTCCGTTTTAGAGAGGTTGAGTTGGAGATGGTGGGATTTCATCCATTTTGATATGTCAGAGAGACTGTTTGATATTAGTGCAGAGACAGTGTGGTCGTCCGGTGGAAATGACAGATAGAGCTGGGTGTCGTCTGCATAGCAGTGGTAGGAGAAGCCATGTGATCGACTGATCTCACCCAGAAGCGTGTTGTGCAGCTTCGCTAAATAAGCGCTTCGATTCTGTTCCTGATGCGCCACGCCTCCGGTAGTATGCTTCGCGTCTGGTGGGGACTGACGAGTTTTGGAGTCCATTTGGAGTCCAGTCCCTTTGGCTGAGAAGCCTTTTAGCAGAAGCTCCGGGTGTCGCTGACGGTTCCCTTGAAGCGAAGCAATGTTTTCCACGTTGAGGTGTTTGTCTCTTCCTCAGCTCTACGAGCAGATCTTCGCTGAGAACGAGAAGTTGAAGGCCCAGCTACGCGACACCGACCTGGAGCTGGCGGATTTGAAGCTACAACTAGAGAAGGCCGCACAGGTGCGTTGAGCTTCATCACTAAAAAGAAGAAACGGGCGTTCCTGAAGAGTTCTCTTATGTGTTTGTTTTCTCTTTAAATCCCAGAGGCAGGAACGCTATGCTGACCGATCACAGCTTGAGATGGAGAAAAGGGTAATTCCGACTAAATTCAGCCCCCTATGTCAAATAACTCTGAACGTAACTGGACCGGTTGAAACCGGCCCTGCTGTAACGCTGCTGGTGGGTTTATGTCTGAAGGTAACAAGCAGGCCCCCGTATCATCTGGGTGGTGGTATGATCTTCCCCTGAGTTTTTTTAACCGTTTCCTCTCTGCTGCTGGCTGTCGTCAAAGGGACACCCTCCCTCCACGCCACCCAGAACACCGCCATCTTTGTTCTGTCACATGTTTTAGACCTCAGTGGCAGCGTGTGGTCACCTCTTCTCGCTAAGCTGCTTGTTTTATTTGTGTCTGAACGCGTGGAAGTGTGTTTCATCCCATCTAGAGCCGAACAGACAATCGTAGGCTTCTGCTTGTGTTTTGTAGCCATGACAATGGGACCGCTGGCCAATTTAAATCCATCTACATCAAAACTTGTTGAAAGATTTGTCTGAAGTCCGCCATTTGTTCCAACCGGATGTCAAAAACCTCCAATTAAAGACGTTTAAGTCTCTGCAAGAGAGGGAGTCCGAGCGTAGGTCTGAACTGGCTGTTGCTTGCACACCGCTCACAGGACATGCGAGTGAAGGAGTGTGTGACACCCTGACCACCTCCCACACCTCCTCCTGTTGCTCCCTGTTTTAATTCATAATTAACCTGCTTTTCCCCGTTCAACAGGAAAGAAGAGCTCTAGAAAGGAAGATTTCTGAGATGGAGGAGGAACTTAAGGTACACACACACACACACACACACACACACACACACACACACACACACACACCCACACGGTTTTCTTCCACCTATTTTTCATTATAGTAAATCTCTGAAGTCTTAAATTATACAACAGGACCACCTTTTCTTTGTTTTCTACTCTGACAGCCAGCTGTGTAATGTGAGCGGTCTGATAACCCGACAGGTGATAAACGAGTCGGATAGAAGGAAAAATCCGTTTTTGTATCATGGTTTAAATTCTTGGATGGATTCTTTTTCCTAGAAAACCACTAAACTAAGAAATGTAAATCTATGAAACTCCACGTAAGCCTGCGTTCTTCCATGGTTGTGAGAACAGGATGTTTATTTTTAGCTCTTAGGCTGCCGGTTGGTCTGATCAGTGTCACTTATTTACTCTACAAGCATCACGCAGAACCGGAAAGCTTTAAATCATTCCTTTGGTTTCCTAAAACTCTCCTATTTTCTAACAGTCTTCCTTTTTCCCCCCTTTTCCTCCTTTTGCCCCTATGAGATTATTTCTCTCTCTCTCTCTCTCTCTCTCTCTCGCCCTCTCTCGCTCATCTCGCTCTCGCCCTATCTCTCTCTCGCTCTCTCTCTTGCTCTTGCTCTCGCTTTATTTCTCTCTCTCGCTCATCTCGCTCTCGCCCTATCTCTCTCTCTCTCGCTCATCTCGCTCTCGCCCTATCTCTCTCTCTCGCTCTCTCTCGCTCATCTCGCTCTCTCTCTCGCTCATCTCGCTCTCGCCCTATCTCTCTCTTAATTTGTGTTTCAAACACACCTTTCTCCTTTTTTCCTCCTCCTGCCATTTTCCCTCCCTCCCAACCCTTCCCTGCAGAACCTCCCCCAGGTAAAGCAGGTTCAGGCCCTGCGGCAGATGAAAGAGCGGCTGCAGGCTGAGAACCGGGCCCTGGCCCGCGTGGTGGCAAAGCTCTCGCAGTTGGCCTGCAGCCAGCTGCCCTCCGTCGACCTCTAGGCCACGTCTGTCTGTCACCCACCACCCTGTCTCTCTCTTTCTCCTTCACTCTTCTCCCCTTTCCAACCAACTCCCTTCTCATGCTCCATTTGTGCTCTGACCCGCTCCGGTAGACAGGCAGGTGTCCAGCCGCCCAGCCATGACTGGCTTCTATCTTTTGCCTCCCCAGAGTTTTTTTGTTGGTGTTCAAATTGGGGATGATGTTTTTTACAACAGGACACTCTCCTTGTCAGGCGTTTCCTACAGAAACAGACTTTTAAAATATGTCAGATGAGTAAAATGCTTCTAAAAGACCTCGGAGTAGGAAGTTCATTCTTAACTGAAGGTTTTAGAAACGCTGCAGGAGAGTGTCCTCTCTGTGTTTCCTAGTTTGATGCTCTCTTCAGAGGGAGCTTCAGTTCAGTTTGGCTTGTTCTGGCTTCTTTGCATGAAGTGAATTCTCATGGCTTCTCTGTATTTTGGCCCAAATGATCAGAAATAGAACTCCTCTCCACATGTGGATGACCGGTGCGTCCACAGACGGGTTTGTTTGGTCTCGGGTTTTAAACGAGACCGAAGCAACAGCAGATTTCCTATTTAATGCTAAGTAGTATCATCTAACCCCGGTTCTCCACCAGATGTCCAAGTCTTGTGGAACATCTGCAAAGAGCCGGCGTTCTCGTTGATGAGTTTGATTCCACCAGGCCTGGACGTACTCACCGCAGTCCTCCATACACAAACACGTCCCTTTTCTAATTAAACCTCTATCTTCTCTTGAGTCAAAGAAAAGCCCAAGTCTAAAGAATCCAAAGTTGATGAAGCCGTTTCAAACGGGCCCGTGCCATCTCAGCTACACTCAGTCGCCATTGCATCCTACCGACCACACCGATGGAGCACTATGATTGGACCGCTCAGGATGTCAGTCAGTGGGGCAGTCTGCCCAAATTTAAGGCCTTAGAAATCCTTAAAAATGACAAATAATCCTTAAATACAGTTTCTAAAGGTCTTAAATTACCAAAGACCCAATAAACACGATTCTTTTATTTCTATAAAATTTTCATGAATTTCTAGTTAGTTCAGCATTTTTTGTGTACGATGTTGCCGTAAGCGGAACCGTACACATTCGGTTGGTTGTGAAAGGGGGCTATTTTTAGATGAGCATGCTAGTGGGAGCTTGCGCCATGGGGAAGTGCAACATTAATGGTAACTGGATGGCTAATCCCACGTTCACGACGTGGTTTAGCACCAGTTCCAGGCAATAGCTGGAAATTATAGCCTAAATTTAATTTAAAAAAATAGCTTAAATTTTGTCAAAGTGGCCTTAAAAAAGGTCTTAAAAAGTCTTAAATTTGGCTCCCTTAAACCTGCAGATACCCTGTTCTAGTTGGTGTTCAGCATTTTTTGTGTATGATGTTGGCGTAAGCAGAACCGTACACATTCAGTTGGTTGTGAAAGGGGGCTATTTTTAGATGAGCACATTAGCTGGTTAAGCTAGTGGGAGCTTGCGCCATGGGGAAGTGCAAGTTTAATGGTAACTGGATGGCTAATCCCACAATGGTGGTTTAGCACCGGTTCCAGGCAATAGCTGGAAATTATAGCTTAAATGTAATTTAAAAAATTGCTTAAATTTGGTCAAAGTGGCCTCACAAAAGGTCTTAAAAGTCTTAAATTTGGCTCCCTTAAACCTGCAGATACCCTGCTTTAGGATCTTGAAGCGTTCGCACTGGAGAGACTTTGATGTCTCATTTCAGTCGTGGTACAACCACACAAAAAAATCAGATTTACTCAAAAAATTGGAATTGAGCATCAAGGCGTGCGGTGTGAACGTAGCCTTATGGGCTCGACACACGGGAGGCGACATCGCCTCTCCTCCATTCATTTTCAAGGAGACATGTGCGACAAAGCGATAATCGCGGGTCTCCCTCCTACTAAGCGAAACGCGAAAAATGTGCGTGTGAAATTTTGCGCTCGTGCACGTGTCGTGCACAGGCGACCCAGCGACGCAATCCCAGAAAGTTGAAATATTTTCAACTTTTCATCGCTGTCGCTCGGACGAGGACCAATCAACGGAGGTTTCATTCACTGACCAATGAGCGGACAGGATGCTCCGTACACCTCCGAGCAAACATGGAGGAGAAGTTGATTATTATTATGTTTTATAGTAAAATCACAAGTAAGATTTCACATAACTCTAGCAGCACCTTGTGAAACATCATATCTACCGCTTTATTAACTCTGAACCGCTTAAATAACCTTAATTCCCTCCAACCTGACACAGCCAATCAAAACAACGGAAGTTTCGATTTCGCCACGGAACAGAACGCGTCGACGGCTTTGCCGCTGCCGCGGGTCGCCTCTCGTGTGTCGGGTAATAAAAGCAACAGCGACGAATTTCGCTGATCGCGGTCGTTTGTCGCCTCTCGTGTGTCGAGCCCCTAAGTGACATGTCGCGTCAAACCTCACAATGACTATAAACTACATTTCCCACAAGGCATGTCAATCGTGCTACCAGTGCAGCGACAGTATTCCGCCACCAGGTTGCAGTGTATCCTCATCTGTGTCTAATTAATACAACAAGTGTAAATAACTCCACAAATTATCCCAAAATGTCCAGGAAGACAAAGATTGGTGAAGAAGGAACGATGTTGCAAGAAAGATGGGAAGGTGAAAACGTGGCATACGTTTCCAGTCATTAGCGTCCATGCTACTGGTATCTGTGGCGTTCCCCTCCTCATCCTGGGACAAACTGAAAACACTCCTGTGACTCGGCGCAGTTAGGTCAGCGGTTTGCCGACTTTGAAGCCCAGAAATGGAGATTGGAACCGCTCAGTAGTATGTTCACCGCTGACATGAAAAGATCCAACCAACCCTCAGAGCTGATTTAACTCCAGTGTAGCTCAAGTCAGTCTGACTCTGCAGCTGCTTCAGTTTTTATCGGTTCTCCTGGACACAACCGTGTGGTCCAGCTGCTCAGATGCTCTCCGTGTTTAGCAGCACAAACCTATGTGAGCAGCTGTTTATGAAGAAGATGAACAGAACAACACAGGAGGAGGGGAAAAGTAGAGTGAAGCTTGGTTTATGCTTGACGCATTTACTTTCCGCTTGGTGATGCGGCTCGTGGATGGAACGCGCTTCACAACTTGCAGCGTTTATGGTTCATGCGGCTTGTCTCTGTGGTGAGCCAATATTCTCCCAAACTGTAGGGGGCAGCATGGAGCTTTACGGCATGCATCCAACACTACACCATAGTAGAAGTACAAATTACTGTTTACAACATGGCATTCCAGCATTTTTTAACAGCGTCCTCATCTTTTCCAACAGTGCGAGCTATTTCTCTCTAGGGATGGGTACCCTTGACATTTGATACGATCCGGTACTAATTCCCGGTACCTACGAATCGATACCGGTACTTAATGGTACCAGTTTTAGATAATTTTGAGTGTTTAATATTTTAATTCTCTTTTATAATTGGATATATATTTTTCTCAATATATAACCATATTTGATAAATATCACAATAAATAACATACAACTGTTTGTATTTTAACATCGTCCTTGTAGTTTTATGAGCTGATAATTAAACTGAAGCAAACATCTTTACTGTGAACTAAATTTACTGTGTATCTTCATTCCTTTTGCCGTCCTTTTTCATTTGATTTTTCCTACTGGGAAGTTAGAATTTCCGAGGAGAAAGCGAACGCACCGTTAGCTGATAACGGTGGTGGCAATGGAAGCTAACATATCAAGCTAACGTTATCTTTAACAGTTTATTTAGCTGCTGGAGCAGATTAAAACGAAGATGCCTCACATAGGGCTGCTCGATTATGGCAAAAATAATAATCACGATTATGGTGACTGAAATTGAGATCACGATTATTTAGGACGATTTTTCAATTTATGTTGATTTTATTTGTTTTTATTCAGTCATAAAACTGCTCAGGGCACAATCAGGACAAAAATAAGAAACAAGATGATCACTAAAAGAACTCCTGATTCCCAGGATAAAAGGACCAATATACTTATAGCTCATAGTCTATGACCCAAGGGCTATAGACCTTGGTTTAACTCATGTAAGTCTAACCAGTACAGACCCAAATACCAATATCTTGCAAATACTGACAGCAAGAATTATAGAGTGGCATTTATAACAAATAAATGCAAATAAACTGATGTTCACAAAATGTTACATAACATTTATTGAGTCGTGTCAAGGTGCTGTAGCACTGTGTCCTCAGAGAGATTAGTTATCAGCGTGAGGAACTTATTTCTACCTTATTTATAAACTATTTATTTACAGGCCCATCAGTTAATGTAATAATTGTCCCGACCACAGCTGCACCCCCCACCCCCCCACCCCGGTCTCACACAATCGGGCAAGCTGCACGTGTGTTTAGCACGCCGCACGCGCACATTTAGCTGTTTTTAGCTGCTCAGGAGACCGCAGGTGCGGTGTGTGTGTCACTCACTCTGGTTACTCCAACAGGGAGCCGGCTCCGAGAGCTGTCTTTAGCGACCGACACATCACTGCATCATTCCCTTTCCTAATGTTGTGAAGAACGGTCCGGAGCACAGGCGGAGTGTTTAGCTAACCTGCAGGAAATGTCGACGACAGTTATCCAGAAAGTAGCTAAGGGTCACCAGAGATGTTTCTCAGGTGTTCGCTAGGTACTTTTAGGATTAAAAAGTCAAGAAGGGGGTCTGAAAAGCTGCTAGAAATAGCGTCAAAGTCGCTAAATTGGCAACACTGTGAGGAGCGCTTCATTTGCAACTTAGGGCAGCGCAAGCGGGAGGAGCAAATAATCGGCTTGTTATGTTTTTTATAATCGTTCAAAACTCGGATCGTAATCGTGATTAAAATTCGATTAATTGAGCAGCCCTAGCCTCACACTTAAATCGTTGTCGCTGGTTTCATCTTCACCCAATCACCCGTCGCATTTAGTAAAGTGAAGCCAAACTTTAGTGCATGTTCATGTTCTTCTAGTCGGGAATTCGGAGTTCCGAGGAGAAAGCGAACGCACCATTGGTGAAACAGAAGCTAACGAATCAAGCTAACGTTATCTTACATTTTATTTACCTACCGGAGCAAATTAAGATGAGGATGTCTCACTTAGATCGTTGTCGCTGGTTTCATCATCACCCAGTTACCCATCACATTTAGTGAAGTGGAGCCAAGCTTTAGCGTGCGTTCTTTCTACCATGCTGCTCTGTTTACAACTCGCTCGCAGCCACCGACGACATAACGCTCTTGCGCATGCGCAGCTGTCTAGTCAAGTTCTCGTTGTGAAGGACGGGTACTGAAATGAGGCACCGTTTGAAATGACGTGAATCGGTGCTCGGTCGGTACTGTGAAATTCGGTCGGTACCTTAAAAAGTACCGAATTCGGTACCCATCCCTATTCCTCTCCAAGAATTATTTACAACATGTTGATCACGGTGATCTCTGAGAGCTGAATCATACAAATGTCTGTGTTTACGAACCTCTGCCATACTAGTTCTTGCCAGTCCGCCATGTTTTTCCGCGTCCGACCGTCCGTGTGGTTAGAAAAGTTCCTAGGTGCGTGGTGCGGAAAGTTTGGGCCGTGCAGAGGCGCGGTGGAGGGGCGTGGTTGTTAAAATTACGCAATTTTGCCGCGCGGAGCCGTGCGAACCTCGCGGACGCGTCAAGCATAAACCAAGCTTTACTCCTTCCTCAGCTCACAGCGCAACCCCACAGACGTCTGCAACAGGTGAGCATCACAGTCAGAGTGGAGCAAATGGAGCGTGAATCATTTTAGTTTTATGCAATTTTTCTGCTCCAAAGCATGAAAGTTAATCGGTGAGATATTGCATTTTCATTTACGACAACGACTTAATTATTTTTGTTGTTGGACTGTGATGAAAGATTTGACCAACTTTAAAACAGGAACTGGAAAGACTACAGATAGATGAGTAGAATAGAAAAATCCCTTTAGTGTCTCTTGTCGGGGAATTTAGTGTCACACAGCAACAGAAAAAGAGTAAAAAATATTGAAAAATAAACAACAAGAAAACACAAAAAGATAAAATGTTTAAAAAAATGCTGAATAAATACCGTATTTTCCGGTCTATAAGTCACATTTTGGGGAGAAATTTTATTATTTTTCTTGCAAAATCTGGGACCAAGCGTTTCACATTGCAAGGCAAGTACCGGTAACAACAACAGAATAAACAACCAGGGCGCAGCAGCGCGCCACGGTCTCCAGCAGAGGATGGCGGTGTTTCAAACCCTCCCAGCGGGGGAGTGCGAGAGTGTCGTTGCAAAGAAATATTGAGATTGGCCCGCGACTCGGTCCCAGGTGTGAGTTTGACACCCCCCGGTCAAGATTCTAGGCTGTTATTTTTTTTTTTGTTTTTTTTACCCGCTTCCTTTCCAGAACGCGTCGAGCTCGGATCGGGCCGGGCAGGAAGTCAAACAAAAGAAAAGTGTTTAACATCTAGCAAATTTCAAAATAAAAGTCACGTGTAGATTTCCTATAAACTGAAAGAAACATCATTACCTCTGTAGCCGAGGTAAAGGAATACAGAAAATAGACCACGCCTCTTTTTGTGCCTGTTGTGTGAAATGGTGAAATCACAGGGGATCTTACAAATTCACCCGTGATGTCATGATCTCGTGGAACACATTCGCAGCCGCTGCGTATCTGAAATGCTTCCGGTGGGAAGGGGTGCGCCGCGCCGCTGAGCTTGAGGTGAAAAGGCGTCTGGTGGAAAACCGAGGGGAATTATAGGTGTGTGTGTGTGTGTGTGTGTGTGTGTGTGTGTGTGTGTGTGTGTGTGTGTTTTGCTGGCTGCTGATGAGCAGCAGCTCAGATTCTGCATGGCTTCGTAAGGATCTCTGCCCTGCAGTGTTGCCACTTTTTTTCTTTTCCTCTCGTTTGACTTGAATTAAAAACATAATTTTCTTTTTTTATTATAAAAAAAGAAGAAAACAAATCAGAACTGATGCTGTGTGACCCCCGAGCTTCGTTCAGGCTGCAATTAACAGCTTGAAGAATCTGCTCGACTGGTTTGACGACCAGCGCTTCTGTCCAGACTCGTCTAATCTCTCTCTCTC